AATATTAAATCTTCTTTCCTTGTTCCTTTTACCGTAAACATTTTATCTTATTTTCATGCAACAATAGAAGAATAAATAAATAGTCTGATAAAATTAATGCCATTTCTGTCTTCTTGATGGCAACCACAACAAATTCCGCTCCTGACTCCGGATGTAATACTGTTTCTGTTCTTTCTGTCGGTGTGATAACGGCAATAATCTGAGGAGCCATTTCTTGTTCACAAATTGTTTATTTAGAAATTAGAAATATCTAATTTAATATCTACATATATCCATAATGAAACTTAAAATGCCTGTTATAAGTGACAAAGGTGCACGTCTGTAGGATACCGTGCAGCTCTGGAGCATAATTTCGATTAGTACACGCCTGCGGTAATCGTGCAGTCATCCAGTCGCTGTCCAAACCCTCACTGAATCATTCTCTTCAGCAATCAGTTGCCAGAGGGAACTGTGTAGTTTTCCCCTCGAACACAAGAGTGAGGGGAGTATCAGACATTGCAAACAATTTACATAACTATGTGTGGTTGCTCTTTTGCCTCATTTTAAATGTAACGGGCATTTGCGTCATGTATGAAGTCCCAAGTAAACCTAAACGTTCTAATTAATTAGAGATATTGTTCTCAGTTGGGATAGTTCAGAATACTCTCGAGTTATTCCGACTTCTGTTAAGATCGAAACAAACCTTTGCACTTGATATTAACTCTTTCTTTCCTGAAGCTACTCGAACCTTGAAATTGTAAAGTTTGGATCATTATCAAGAGAATCTGGAGGAATCGTGCTGGTAGAAAATTACGCATATGCTTCCAGGTTCTAGTCTATGCTTCCAGGTTCTAGTCCTCTATGCGCAAACTTCTAAATTCTAATCTTTATGCGAGACATCGAACCCTGAAATTGTAAAGTTTGGAACATTATCAAGAGAATCTGGAGGAATCGTACTGGTAGAAAATTACACATATGCTTCCAGCAGGTTCTAGTCCTCTATGCGCAAATTCTAAATCTAAGCTTTATGCGAGACATCAAACCCTGAAATTGTAAAGTTCGAATCATTATCAAGAGAATCTGGAGTAATCGTGCTGGTAGAAAATTACGGATATGCTTCCAGGTTCTAGTCCTCTATGCGCAAACTTCTAAATTCTAATCTTTATGCGAGACATCGAACCCTGAAATCGTAAAGTTTGGATCATTATCAAGAGAATCTGGAGGAATCGTGCTGGTAGAAAATTACGCATATGCTTCCAGGTTCTAGTCCTCTATGCGCAAACTTCTAAATTCTAATTTTTATGCGAGACATCGAACCCTGAAATTGTAAAGTTTGGAACATTATCAAGAGAATCTGGAGGAATCGTACTGGTAGAAAATTACACATATGCTTCCAGCAGGTTCTAGTCCTCTATGCGCAAATTCTAAATTCTAAGCTTTATGCGAGACATCAAACCCTGAAATTGTAAAGTTCGAATCATTATCAAGAGAATCTGGAGGAATCGTGCTGGTAGAAAATTACGGATATGCTTCCAGGTTCTAGTCTATGCTTCCAGCAGGTTCTAGTCCTCTATGCACAAACTTCTAAATTCTAAGCTTTATGTGAGACATCGAACCCTGAAATCGTAAAGTTCGGATCATTAACAAGAGAATCTGGAGTAATCGTGCTGGTAGAAAATTACGCATATGCTTCCAGGTTCTAGTCCTCTATGCGCAAACTTCTAAATTCTAATCTTTATGCGAGACATCGAACCCTGAAATCGTAAAGTTCGGATCATTAACAAGAGAATCTGGAGTAATCGTGCTGGTAGAAAATTACGCATATGCTTCCAGGTTCTAGTCTATGCTTCCAGGTTCTAGTCCTCTACGCGTAAACTTCTAAATTCTAATCTTTATGCGAGACATCAGATTCCCTATTATAATTTTAAAGTAATAAATCAGTTCCTTGATTTATTTATTTCAAGTGACAACGGCGTCTCTATTATAATCACCCTTTTAAAACAATAACGAGTTTTTTATAGAGTCATTAGGTTATTTTGAAGCAGGAGGCGTGAAAAATGCGCAATGCCGTCTTCGAAACTCGAACCTTGAATCTCTCGAATACCTGTCGTGTATGCTTCCAGCTACACCACGAAGGCATGCGGAAAGGAGAGAGAAAATACATCATTAAAAAGTAAGAAAATTTTAATATTACGTTTGTTTGCTGAAATAAACACTTATAAGGTATTTCTCCCACTTTCCTAGCGTGCCTTCGTGGTGGGTGTAGTGGTTCTGCACACTGGGCTGGTATTCCAGAGGTCCGTGTTTCAATTCCCGGCGAAGGCGTTGCTAATTTTTCATCTTTCCTGCTACCAAAAATATACCTAATGTCTCTACACACTGTTTAACTGTGAGCAATATGAAATAATAAATCTGAAGTTTTTCGGTAGCGATAGTTAGGATGGAGTTGTATTGGCTAACGCTAATGAGATATAAACCTACACGCCCCGCCAGTGGCCGAGTGGCTAGGATCGCTGAATTCTGAGAGTGACTAGCGTTTAATCTCAGGTGAACCGGCTAGTTTCCATAACTTTCCTCATATGTAACGTGAATACGAGTCGTTTCCCTTAGAAAATCCTCCACGAAACCACCTCTGACCCTAGGCAGGTAGCCCTCACATGCTTTGTTGTTGTTGTTGTCTTGTCCATATAACATGGAACAATGGTTGCCAGAGCCTACTCCGAAGAGAGGTTGGACTTCTATTTTCCACCCCCAATTTTGAGGGAGAGCACCCCGAGGGGGGATCCGCGGGTCTGCCAGCCATGTCCCCTTCCACCAATCCACATGAGAAGATTTTCGGCTCGCCGCATATTTAGAGTGCCGCTACCCCGCACCGACATTATACATTTACAAACGTCCATGTCTTCTCCGGAATTCGAACCCGGGCCCTTCGGTACCGTAGTAGGGCTTCCCTAACCACTGTGAATGTGGGGAGGAGGGTCATCCAGATCATTTTGTGTTCTCCTGCCCACACACAGCACTTAACAGCCTCAAGCAACCAGGAGCCAGATTCTGGCCAAATTGGTTCCAGAATCTACAAAGTAACGGAGTTGCCCAGCGGAAACTGAAAACAATAATTGACTACTGTACTAGCAATTACTCTTCTGACACTGGAAGATAGTAGTCATAAAAGTCTATATAAGCTAGTTCAATATGTCAGCAACAGAGTATGTGATATGTATGTACAATATGTAATTTTATATTTATGCTGTGCCATGTTTTCATACATAAAGTTTGTACTATATCTGAATGCTGTAATGTATCTGTACATGTTTATATCTTTTATTTATTGGTACCTAATTTATACTAAGGATCACGCGTACCTTAACGGTCATGCTTCATGTAAACTTTAACTGTCATGATAACGTATATTTGTTTAAATGGGTATATATGAATATGAGTGAGAGTATGTATACTTTTAATTTGCTTCGGAATATCTATGTATGTAAGTGTGTACTATATATCTGCATATGAGGTTTGGTATTTATATGTATATACATATATTTTGATTGTACTCTTCTTCAAGTTGCCTGTATGCACATGTATATATTTCTTTGTACATTGTTGTACTCTTCTTCAAGTGCCTTGTATGCACATGTATATATTTCTTTGTACATTGTTGTACTCTTCTTCAAGTGCCTTGTATGCACATGTATATATTTCTTTGTACATTGTTGTGCTCTTCTTCAAGTGCCTTGTATGCATATGTATATCTCTTTTTTGCATTTTATAAATGTCATCTGCTCAGCCGGGGCTGCCCAGGGCTGTGGCCTGGTAGCTAGTGGTTGACTCCCGAGTTGGTAACCAATTCTGCACGGATATATCTATACCTGGGTCGGAAGCCAACTCAGCGGTTTACCTTCCCTAACCACTATACCGTCTGGGCGACCTCATATGCTTTGCCATACTCAAATAACCTAACCAAGCTCCGGTTAGAATTACTGAGCCAGCTTAAAGTAAGATTTAGATTGTAAAGTCTTTTTCTACTATTCCAAACTTAACTTGAATTTGAGAGTTCCTATTTATTTGCTTCACCAGCAGTGATTGATTTTGTTGCCACAAGAAGGTGCAATTCTGTTCTACGTTCTGTTTAAATAAAAAGTTTTATTTATAACTCCCTGACTTTTTACTTACTTTCAGATTTAGTGATAATTTGCTTTACGTCTGAAAGAGTTTTAAACTCATTGTCAATTCAAGTAAAAATTATGATTTGTAATATTAACATCTTCAGAGAATAATGAAAAAACGTTGCATTTTTGTACCAGAATTTTATAAAAGAAAGTTATTTTATCTTTGCAGTCAATCTATATATTTGCCAACTTGATATCTTATGCTTCCATGTGAAGTAGCAAATACAGTTTTATTAGCCCAAAGAAGCGTTAGCTCAGAAGGATTGTTAATTTCGTTTTGGCATTTTGCGTCTATTCACTGTAAATATCCGTACAACTTTTCAAACTGTTGCCACCAAATATTATCGCCCTGTGTTATATTTAAAGAAATTAAATAACGAAGAATCTGCATAAATGTATGTTTGTTTCTCGCATTGTGATAAAACAACGGTACCTAGAGCCATCCATACAGTTTTTGAATAACGTGCATCTCCACCCGAAATATGGGCATCTGGAAGCCTAGATTTGGCTGTTTATATTATCAATTTCATATTTTGTAACACTTTAACGAATTTTTGATTAAGAAATTCACCGATTTCATATCTAGCAACGGCAACACTGTACGGGGGGGTGGAATATCCCCAGCGCGCGAAAGTGTGTATCGGAAATTCTAAAGATATGCTCATTTTGAAATTATTTTGCGACATTTCTATGGAATTGAATGTTATGGTTTAAGTGCGAAGAACATGATATTTAATACATAAAGATAACAGAGAAAGCGTTAAGAAAACGCCCCTTTGGGCGTAATGTAAAATCTGAAAGCTTTCTAGCTAGATTAATGTCTAATACTTTATTACTTCATTTACTTGTATTAATAAACGTTTTGAGGAGGCAGTATTAATGGAACTTTAATAACGCTGAATAACTTTAATGAAGCTTTGTAAATGACATAGTTTTGGACATTCTTGTGCTTACATTGAAAAGATAAGGAGAAAGAAAATCCTCCCTTTCCTATTTAGTAAATTTGTCTCAAATTTCTGTTCAGTTTTCAGGCGGAAATACAAAATTGCCCTTTTAATTCAGTCCAGAGAAGGTCCTAAGAAATATTTGAGCCAGCCTTCGTCTTTGAGCCTTTCCTAGGTGAAAAAAAAATAATAATAGTAATGCATTGAGTAATTAAATAATAATAGTAATAGTAATGCATAAATTATAATAAAATTGTAAATAATAAAAATTGTAAAATATAAAAAAATAATAATAGTAATGCATAAATTAATAATAGTAATGCATTGAGTCCGAGAAAGTAAGTTGCAAATGTACACCTTACACACAAACACACACACAAAAAAAAAAAAAAAAAAAAAAAAAAAAAAAAATCTGAAATGTTTCAGATTTTAAATTACGTCCAAAGGGGCGTTTTTTAACATTTTGTGTGTTACCTTTCTTTATTAAATATCATGTTCCTCGCACTTAAACCATAAGATCCAGTGCAACAGCAATATCGCAAAATAGTTTTAAAACGAGCATATCTTTAGAATTTCCGATACAGAGACTCACGCGCTGGAGATAAAAATGTTTTTTTCTGCACAACGTTGCCATTGCTCGCTTTGAAATCCTTGAGTTTGTTAATCAAAAATTCGTCAAAGTTTTAAAAAAAAAAAATAGGAAATCGATCATAAAACAAATTTCAAATTTCAAATTTGGTCTTCCACATGCTCATATTCGTTGGAGGATTACGTTATTCAAAATTCGATGACTCTATGTACCGTTATCTTATGACAATGTGAGAAATATACATACATTTACGCAGATTTTCATTATTTAATTTCTTCAAATATAATGCAGGACATTTTATGGCAACAGTTTGAAAAGTGAACCGACATTTATGAGTCCGACACAAAATGCCAAAACGAAACTAATAGTCCTTCGGGATTCAAATCCCTTTGGACTAAAAAAACAAGACGCGAGACAGTTCTACAGGGTGATTGTTCGCAATCCACTTATTTAGTCATAAATACAACTTAAAATGCATTTATAACAAGGAAATTTTTAAATGAGATTGAAGTCAGATAACATCTCGTATGAATTGCTTCATATACTTTACTAGTAACAGCACCCGCAGAACCTTTTATACCTCATTTAAAAAAATATTTCTTCAAATAACATTAAGAAACACATTTGCATATTATTAATTCGCATATAACAACACCGTTGCCGGTAGAGAGCAATAGGTGCGCATCTCAGAAGATAAGACGCCATTCGCGATTGTGCTGTCACTCAGTGATGGGAGACTTCACGTATGCCGAAACAGCAGACATTCGTTGCGTGTATGGTCGTGCAAACGGTAACGCTGGAGCTGCGCTACGAATGTATCAAGCGCAGTTTCTGGAGAGACGAATGCCGAATCTCGAATGTTTGAGCGGTTAGGTCGTCAACTTAATAAAACCGATTTTTTCCATAGCACTAGACAGGATACTGGTCGACGAACTGAACGCAGTCCAAGATATGAAAAAGCCATCTTGAACACTGTGGCTGACAGACCTGAATCAAGTACAAGAGCTATTGCACAAAATGTAGGTATCAGTCAGCATATCATCTGGAGTGTGTTAAACGAAAATCTGTTATACTCTTTCCATTTTCAGCGAGTACAAGATTTACAGCGCTGTACAAGAAGTTCAAATACTCGCTGTACAAGAAGTACAGCGAGTATTTGAATCCCAAAGACTTTCCTTTGCGCCTGAGCTTCTGCCTGTGGCTTTTTCAGCAATTTGCAATGCAGCCGGACTTCACAGCTCATGTGTTATTTACAGATGAGACGAAATTTACCCGTGATGGTGTAAAAGTGCGCACAATTCTCATGAGTGGGCAGCTGAGAATCCGAACACGCCCCCACATGAATCTCAACAATCAGTGTGAATGTATGGGAGGGTATCATCCACTAAATTTTAATTGGTACATACCTACTGCCGCAGAGACTCAATGGCCAACGTTATCTTAATTTTCTGGAACAGATGTTACCAGAGCTGTTGCAAGATCTTGCGATTTCCATTCGTAACCGAATGTGGTTCCAGCATGATGAAGTGCCAGTCCAATTCCGCACAGATGTCCGCAATTACCTGAATGCCACTTTTCGGGTGAGATGGATTGTGCGTGGTGAACCAGTCCCTTGGCCACCCAAATTCCCGATTTATCGAACCTCGTTTACTTTTTCTAGAGTTTTCTGAAGAGTCTTGTTTATGCGACTCCAGTTGCCTCAGCTGAGGATCTCATTGCTCGAATATCAGTAGCTGCTGCATGTATGCGTGAAATACCTAGCATCTTTGCCAGTGTACGCCAGTCTCTCCATCGACCCTGTAAAGCATGTATCGCTGTTGGTGGATGGAATTTTCAACGGTTCTTGTAAACATCCTGTTTCAGTTGAAGTACAGACACCCTGTATTTATGACTAAATAAATGGATTGCAACCTGGGTTTCCTATGTGAATATTGTTCGTATCTTTGACCAGTACCTCCCTTCCCAAATCTGTATCATAAATTTGGAATCACCCTGCATATCTCCCGTCCTACTGGGCCAATTGGGAAAATTTAACTTGCGTTTTTCATGTCTCGAAAGAACGACTTGGGATATATATTATATTTATATATAGCATTGTTCTAACGCAGGTATTTTGACACAAAATCTGACCTTTTTCTGAAATAACACGCCGATTTTTTTTTTTTTTTCCTTTATTTCGATTCTACGACACAGATTATGCCAAAGATTCGTAAAAATCCCACGAGTAATTTTAAAAAATTAGCTCTCAAAATTTCAGCTTCTCAATGTTAATTGAGTTTGGTGTATATTTACTGATATCTCTCTCTTTTATTATTATTATTATTATTAAACTTACTTGATTCCTTCTTTCACAGCTCCAACTTTAGATTTAAACCATATAAAAATGCCTAGATATTTTCTGATTTATTTTAAAATTTATATTTTTTAGTAATTTTTATAAATTTTCAGAAAAAAAATTTGAATAATGACCTATAAAGGCTTTGCCATCAACTTAAAGTAGATTTATTTTTAGGCATACCAGCAAAAAATTAAGAGTTTTTAATTCAAACTTTTCAAAGATACACATGAATTTATATATCGGTGCGTTTTGAAATTTGGCGTATTTGTTACAAGCGATAATAATGCCGAATATGCCTTACACACTTTGTTAAAAATTATTTCAAAGAGTGAAAGATGCATCTTTTTTTCCTGTCTTGCACAATGAAAAACGGGAAAGCAAAATAGGTTAACATAAAATAAAAATTTCACCAAGTCGATTATTCTTGGCGCAAACTGAAAAAAGTGCGCTAAGATAATTTTTTAAATTTCTGGATAAGTTTCTCACCAGATTTTTCAAAATTTAATACTTAGGCATAATTTGAGTTGTAGAATCGAAATATGGAAAAAGACAGATACGTCATTTAAAAAAAAAGTCTGATTTTGTGTCAAGTATTTACGTTAGAACAATGCTAAACATATGTTAACGTGAAAGACCGAAATTGGAGAATGTCGACTTTCACCGGAGAATATCAACATTCATCAAATACGTCGGTGAAAGACCGAATATTTCACTACATTCTTGTATATTCGGACTCTCACCGGTGTATGTCGACAATCACAGATATGCTCTGGTGAAAGTCGAAAAGAGAGGTCATAAAGTGCCATAATAGTTTAAGTTGTTGCAATAAATAAGATTTGAATCACATAATTTAGTAAGTTTTTTATGACTGTTATTTTATTTTCTCATTTAGAACGTACTGTATAATTTAGTAAGTTTTTAACTTCCATTATTTTCTTTTCTCATTTTGAATGTATGTGTGTTTTAGGTTCTCATGTTCTTAAGTTCTTATTTCAAGTCTCAAGTGCGTTATTCGCGACTGAATTACGGAGAAGAAAATATAATATTGTTATATGTTCAACATTCACCATTAGTAGATGGTGAATGTCGACATTGACCGGTGTAAATCAGAAATAAGAGTATTTGGAAAATATTTCGGACATACACCAAGAGACTATGTGAATGTTGACATTACCGGTGAAAGTCGACATTCTCCAGATTTCGGTGTTTCACCGTAACATATGTACTAAGTGGCGCTTTCGAAATATAAAAAGGCAAGTTAAATTTCGTCAATCTACCCAGTATAACAAAAGCTATAGAAATCTTTTTTTTTTTTTTTTTTTTTTTTTTTTTTTTTTTTTTTTCCAGAATGTTCGGGTACAGGGTCAGTCCTGTCTTGCCAATTTCTACCTTGGCGCACGTTCGACTGACACTTCGAAGTTTCATAATGCAAAAAAATATATTAAATTATTCTAACAAGCATCTTACCACAAAAGCAAAACAATACTTGTCAAATTCTTCTATTTCATTTGGTGTCTGAAATGAGAAAAAGAAATCAAAGTTCTATTAAAATCTTTTACTTGAATTCTACTGTTATGTAGATTAAAGCACAGGACTACAAGCATAAGAAAGAATGTGCTTTTTGAAAAATTCGCTTTTAGCTTATTCATTCCACCGAAACCAGGTAGCACATCTGATGCGAATGAATATCTGTTAAATAATATTTAGAGAAGCTAATTTTACGTAAAAATAAAAAATAAACAATTTAATCCCTTTTAAAATGCAATTAAAGAGCTAAATGACTATTCCTAAACTCTTTTGTTGGCCTTCTTATATAATTGTGACAAAATCTCACGTTTGCTTTAAATCGTATGTAAACACATGTAATTCTCAATTTTACTTTAAATTATATTGTTACTTATTAATAATAGTAATAAACTCAATGTTTTGCTGCTGCATAACTCAATCACACACCTGAACATTATTTTTCAATTTCCTTTTAGCATTAATCCTATATCTCTTCCTTTTTCTTCTAGTTTCTTTTAATGTATGATAAGTAGACATAGTTAAAGTTCATAAAATTAACTAAGCAGCAACTTTGTATTTGGCGTAGATATAGGCAAGAACTAATCGATTTCAAGGGCAAATAGGTACAGGTTCCTTTTCATCAGGAGCAAAGAAATCTGCAAGACTGGAAAGCAACTGACGTGGAACGGTGTTTAAGACACCCGGGTGCCTAGATCCAGTGCCTTACCACGAACGATTAAAAATTTCAAAATAATGTACTTAATAATACGTTAAGAAATAAAATAACAAATTCGCATTATTGAAATTTTTTGAAAATATATTATAAATGTTAATTAATTAGTTGTAGGAGATTGTTCAGAAAGCTGATTAAGCCGAGAACGAAAAGTACTTAAGAGAAAAATGCAAGAGGTCTTAGTGGTAAAGTTTATACATATAATACACAATTTAAAAAGAATGCATGCAATAATAATACAGTAAAATAATGCAAATCAAGGAAGGTAAAATTATAAATAAAATGACATTAAATACTAATTAATCAATTATCACTCTGGGGTTAAATACGACAATGGAGCGCTTTTATGCTGTTCATCCAGAAAGTTATAGATCCAGAGATCAGGATAACTAAGTGTTCTTATTTTTGCATGAAATTTTCGTGCAAGATGGTATTGAAATGATCTTACTTGGACAATGCCAAGTTCTTCACGAATGACATTATAACGAAAGTGCCAGGTTGCTTTGGAGAACACAGTTCTGCGCAGTTTGAGCTTCCTTCTGACAAGAATATGCCCAAACTGGATAGACATAATATAACATGGGTCGCAACATGGATTTACAAATGAGTAACATGTTGTCAATAGATAGAACACTAGTTAAGGGGTACAGTTTATCTTTACGATCTCAAAACTTCTGGAGAATACACTCCATGCGGGCTCCAAGTGAGAGAATTAGTGAGGATCACTCCGAGATAAGGGACTTGATTAGCCCAGGACAGAATTGTTTCATATAACTGAAGATGCTGCTGAATGTTCTTTTTTCTGGTGAACATGTCTGCAGTGGTGTTGTCCATGTTGACTTCGATTTTCCATTTAATAAACCAGGCCTCTAGTGCAAGTATGTGGCTTTGTTAAATAACTGAACTAAGAAATGCGTTTTGTGCAAAGATCACTGTATCATCAGCATACATTGCAAGCTTGGTGTGATAGGAATGTCGTTCACATAAGTATTGAATAAAGTAGGGCCAAGTAAAGACCCCTGCGGTACGCCTGCTAAAATAGCATGGCGAGTTAACTGCATATCAGAAATCGGAACGACAAAATGTCTACCTGTTCGCTAGGATTTACTTACGTGTGTAATGTAATCTGGGAACTCCAGATTGTGTTTTTTGTAAATAAGTGCGTCCACCGAAACACGATTGAAAGCTTTGGCTATATTGACAAACCGTACTCTCAGGAATTTCTTTCGATGAGCATTTTCGCAAATTTTCCCATACGTAACGTGAATAAGATCCAGTTTCCATTATAAAATCCCCCATGAAGACATATTTTCCCTTAAGCGGATAGTTCTCGCTTGTTATGTCATAATCGAATAAATGAAAATGGATTTAAATACATGATTAAGCAGATTGTTGAAGCTGAGGTACAGGAAAAGCAATTTAATTTTTTAATTTAGTCATTTAACTTATATTGAAATAAATACCATAATGGTTGAAATTAATGGTGAAATGTAACTATTTCCTTCTTCTTTCCGATTAACTCAAGAAAGAGAATGGGACTTTTAAATAGCATTCTCGCTAATTCCCGCCCCCAATAGTAGGCACTAGCCAATATAGGCGTTGCCCACTACTTAGGCCGGAAGAGGTGGTGACTTTATTATGGCGGCGCCTAATAAGTGGGCCACCGCTGCCTCCTATCAAAGGAACAGACAATTTACATCCATGCCTTCTCCGGGATTCAAACTTCCGTAAGGCAGTCAGAGTCATTAACCACTTTTCCGTCTGGGCGGCGCACTGTCGCTAGTTTTCACAAAGAAATCTAATGGCAGCTAGCCTACACAAAAGCTAAACTATACCCCTTAACTAGTGTTCTATCTATTGACAATATGTTACTCATTTGTAAATCCATGTTGCGACCCATGTTATATTATGTCTGTCCAGTTTGGGCATATTCTTGACAGAAGAAAGCTTAAACTGCACAGAACTGTGTTCTCCAAAGCAACCTGGCACTTTCGTTATAATGTCATTCGTGAAGAACTTGGCATTGTCCAAGTAAGATCATTTTAATACCATCTTAAAATGATAGGACTGTAAACTGATAGGACGCAGAAGCAACGATGTCCACATGGAAACTCTTAAAACTACGTTCAGTTGCCCGCTACTGGTTTTAATACAATATGATGACCTTTAGACAAACGGTTAACTAGATCCGGTTGTCAGTTATTTGCATGGCAGCTATGAGGTCTGGAAAAGATTGAAACTGTCGCTCCAGGAGTATTTGATTTTTGCATGGAAAAACAACTTAGCAGAACAATAAAGAGGAAAGCAAGATTTCCACCAGATTTTGGTTGCTACTACAGTCAAATACCGAAAATCCACCGACCTGAAATCCGCGTTGCCTCTCAAAATAGTATAAACATTCAGTTTATAGGTCCCGGAAACCGCAACATTGAGTACGAAATATCGAAGAAAAATACTTACCAAATAATGACGTCATAATTACCGAATAATAATGAGTCATAACGGAAATACCAAATTATTGAGATCATGACAAAAGTCTTTTCCCCTCTAATCTGCATCGAGGTAGGAAAGCAGACGATTCACTCAACTCTTCCTTCAAGTTCACGATTCACGTTGTTGTATTTTCTTAGCTTTGTTGTGTGACGAGATTATTTAGTGCTGCCTTTTTTTATGCGGATATTTTGTGGATAAATTAAGAATATTTTAAATTTCAGCCCTTTTAATACAATGAAAGATAAGAAACGCACTCATGATTTTACTGCTTGCAACGTTGAAAAACGTAAACACGTCGCATTGACGGTAATGCAAAAAGTGCAAATTCTGGAAAAGATGGAGACAGTTGCTTCTCCTCGGTTTATAGCAGAATCGTATGGAATTGCGATACGATTGTGTATGATATACGGAAAAATAAAGAAAAGCTGTTGAAATTATACAGTAACATTCATTCTAACACCGGAATCCAAAACCGGAAATCTTTGTACGAGGCGAAATCGGCAAACCTCGATGCTGTGTACATAAAATACAATGAATAATATAATCAATTTATATATGTAATAATAATTTAATGCATATAATAAGTTATTGCAATAATGTATATAATAATTTAATTAAATGTATCTAATATGCCTTATTTATTTTGCACTTTTAGTCTGAATATTATGATTTATCTTTTCTGTCCTGAAATCCGCAAATCCTAAAATCCGCACAACCTCTGGTCCCAAGCTTTGCGGATTCTGGACTTCTACTGTATTTTAAAACAAATTCCATTTTTAGGCGGGGCAAGTGCACCTCCCAGCAGCCAACCGGCTACGCCCATGGCAATAGCGTTCCATTAACTCTACGGCAAAAAGCCCTATTAAAATTGTGGTTCAATTTTTCTACCAAACGCACTTCTCTTCGCCACTCAGTGTCTACCACCGCAGAATATACCCATTTTCACCAATAGCGACATCTAATGACAGACATGAGGTAGGCAACTCAAGGGATCTTAGAATAAACTGTGCCAAGACCGATATTTCCCACTTATAGCAAGATCAGTTTCCAAATAAGTTTCCCGACACTTGAAAACTATTTCAACAGATGGAATTTTCTTACCAGTACAGTTCTGTGCAGAACAGTGCTATTCTTCTTCAGAAATTCTGCTGATACTCGCACCCTGCAATTAGCCAGCTATAACAGAAAAATATTAAAATTTGTATAATTCAAAATTAAATCATAATAGGGGTAAAATCGCACAAAAAGATTACAAAATAGCGTTTAAAATTGTGTGATCAGTAAGGAATATGCAGAAAATTTAATGAGTTGTTTGAAATGGATTTATGTAATGATTTATGTTGTGAAAAACTCGAGTTAGATATTGGGAAGATATTGTTGGTATACAGTGATGGGCATCATCAGTCACCAAAAGGGAGATAAACATTTCTGTTTAGATGAAAGATTTCTGTTTAGATGTAGTGAATACAATTTTCTTTTATTCTACTATAAAAGAAAATTGGATTCACTACACCTCAGTCCTTCATGCTGGTAAGAACAGTGTAGAAAATATCTTGCACAATGAGAACTTAAACTCTCTTCAAAATCATATCCATATATTGCAAAAGATCTAACTATTCACGTTCCTCGTTAAATATGTATTAAATCAATGTTTTTCGTTTGACATTTTCCATTTGATCTCTTTTGATTGCTGAAGAATACTATGGTGACACACCGTACTAACCAAGAAGACAAGGTAAGAAAATTGTTCTTTTTTCTTCCTTACACTACTTCTATACAAATTTACAATAAATATTACCTTTTGAATGTTCTGCGTCTTTTATGCTATTTTGCTCTGTGTTAATAAACTTTTCGTGCTTTACCATAATTTTTAAAAAGATATTACGAACTAAGGATGAAAAACGTTACAAAGAATTTCAAAGCTTTCTTAAAACCAACGAGGAATGAGGAATACTCAAATATATTAAACCGTGACTTGACTCCATACAATTTCTCAGAAAAAAAAAAAGATTCATTCTAGAAGCTTCTAGAAGTGTGTGGGCAGCTATGTATATATCAGCTGCGATGGAATAGAGGATCTATTTAGTTTTTCGGTTCAGAGTCATGCAACTGTAATTGTTCAAGGTATAAAGAATAAAGATTATCGAGATCAATACCCTATCATGATACCAAGAATTAAAGGTACAAATCTTACCTTGTCAGAAGACCTTCTTCTTCTTCTAGTCCAAAAAGAAACCGGGATTATTTTTATTAACTGACTAGGTGTACCCGCCCGGCGTTGCCCGTGCATTTAGAAAATGCAGATAAGTGAATAGCGCAGGAATAGTAGTGTAGGACATGTAGACTGTCTCTCTCTCTTCCCCCCCCCACAAGCTACAAAAAAGAAATGAATTGTAATTAATCGATTTAATGTATCGTCAAAACAGCAAACTAACGCTAGAATAAAGAAATCAATTGTTACAATCGAACGTTATTTGAAAACAAATATTAATATCAGTGAGTCAAAAAAACCGTGATTAATTAATTATAAATAATTTTTTTTAAATTTTTCTAATTCAAAAATCGAAAATCGGGCTTCGAGGTCTGGTGGCCAGCCCCTTTGTGCTTCCGTATAAAAAATTCCAGGTCCCTGCGTGCGATAGATTTGGCTGGAGAGCTCGGTCAGACAGACAGACAGACACATTACACTTGCTTTTATTATTATAGATGACAATCTACTCATAAAGGGCACTTCTAAAATATTAGCATACTTTAATTTACTACACATTACTAACTAATTATATACATAACGCACAGAAGAGACGTTTATAAGTTATATTTTCCTCATTACATTGCCTTTTACTAGTTCTATTAAAATTCTGGTTTCAAGGCGACGCGCATGCGCGAATCACGTTATGTGAATCGTTTGACAAGAGTTTCAACCAAAGACTTCATATAACAGTATATACCTCGTTGGTTTGAACAGCAATGATCTGCTCAATGGTTACTCTTTTAGACTTTACTAAATTGTTTGTCTTGCCATACGAGCTGCAGTTTCTTTTAATAATGTATCAATTTCTTCTAGCTCATCCGGTTTAGTAATTAAAGAGATTTCTACGAACCGTGGTACATAATAGATTACGTTATATGACAAGGAGGAAAAGATTAAGTTATATGAAAGAGTAAATAAGATATTTTAGGAATTTGGGGAAAGAGACATAGTTGGAATGATAGTATTACCCAGGTCATCGTTTAAAGAATCTAGTAAATGTATAGTAAACGTTTATGCATAAGGGTAGTCAGTGCCAGCGCTGAGCTTTTCGCCGCTCGGTGTAAACACTTCGATTCCTAGAATCTGCCGCCCAGTAACTTCCTAAAATTTTATAAATTTTGCCGCCCCTAAATTCTGCCGCCCGGCACGTCTGCACCTACCGCACATGCTCTGGCGTTGGCAAAGGTAGTAAACGTGTGTAATTAAGAATAAGGGAATAACAATACTTTACCTTTCTACCCACGGAAGTGCTCGTGTTAGGATTGCATGCATCTTCCAAGGCTTCTTTGACACTAGTTGATCTCAGGCCAGCTTCTGCAGCGCAAGGAAGGAAGTAGCTCATGTTCTGACCACCAGAAAATAAAAAATTGTGCTCGATTAAAATGAAATAGCTAGTATACAATACATAGTAAGTTATAAAATAACACGAAAAGAAATTACCAGACAATTATGGTGTTACAGAAATTAGCATATGTGTAAAATGAACAAATACGATGTGTCAGTTTGGTATAAGAAAATTACCTTCAGTTATGGAGTATGATCTCTCCTAGAAGCAATACTACGCATACAGCGAATGTGCGATGCTGTCAATTATGCAATCTATCAGTTCCGTAGGAAGTGACAGCCATTGCAAGCGTGGTAAGGGTCTGAAGAGGAGAACTGAGAGCAGCTATACGCCTGTTTGCTGATGAAGATAATCATCCACGATGCGAGCCTTTGGCGTCTAGCGTTGTCGTCCTGTAGCAGGGTATTATCACCTATTGCCCCCAGCATAAGGACGCACATAAGCATCAAGGATGCGTTCTCTGTAGGCCTGAGAATTCTTGGTTTCATTTGGAAAGACATGGAAGTCTGTGCGTCCATCCAAAGAGATACAACCACAAGCAGAAACACTGCCTCATCCGAATGCATCTCTTTCACGGATGTTTGATGGATGATAACGAGTTCCAGGTTGTCTCCAAATCAAATAACGCCTACTATCGCTTTGAAGGCTTAGCTTGGACTCATCCGTAAAGACAACAGCTCCCCATTGATCATCTGTGCAGTGGACATGTTGACGTGCCCACTTTAAACATTCCCTTCTATGACGTGACATGAGTGGTACGCAGATGGCTGGTCGCCTCGCGTACAGACCTTCTTTGTGAAGCCTTCTGTGCTCGGTTGACGTTGACACCAACCTTCCAGTGGCTGCAACAAGGGAGGAGCTGAGTTGAATTGGAGTTGAGGTTCTATTCTTTCGTGCACATAACAACAAATATTGGCGATCAGTGCTCGTCGTAGCGGCTGGCGGTTCTTGGTTGAAACTCCTGGATGCTGAATCTGTGATTAGAAATTGTCTCCAAAGTCTGTGAACTACATAGGGATTCATACTGGCCACTTTGACTGATTTTGTCCTGCCCCTAATCTCCCACTGCTTTCCATCTCAGTTATTCGGGCAAATGATGCCTGAAGATTGTTGTTACAAACTGGCTATCCCAGATTTCTTATCTCAGTATCACAGCGAAATTTGCAGGCTTGCTCTGCAACAAGCTTTTATACTCTTGCCATGACGTATTTCGATTGCAGCACCACTAATTTGCATACAGCAATTTTATTCAGTAGTTCTTTGATAATATTTTCAAATTTTAAAAGGATTGGCTTATTTTTGAAGAAGTTATCGCTATTTTTGTGATTTTTCCTTAATGTTTGGATGTACAATCACATAAGATTCTAGTCAATGGCATGTCCTATAATTCCAAACGAGAGTTGCTCGCAGAGATATCGCATGAGGAGCTGTCTACTATGTAACAAAATATTATAACGACGACGAACAAACATCATGTGAAAAGGCATAACAACTTTAAAACATCTGTTTATGTATGAAGTAAGATCGTCTTCTGCTGGTATATGCTTTGAGAGATTTCATTTCTAACAAAATTTTTTTTTTTTCTGAATTATAATGAAAATCATTTTAAACAGACACCTTTCGATCACATAGGGAAAACTAGGGTAAGCAAAGTTTTCGTGCTAGACATAACTTTCCTTAGGCTTTCCCCTATTCCTTAGGTAATAGATGACATTTAAACGCTGCCAGCTTACGTTCAAAGTAAACTGCAAACGTTTTTCTTGAAGCTTTTTGGAACGTTCTACAATTTACTAATAATTGAGGTACGTGATATCGAGTTAATAATAGTTGCGTTTCTAAATGGATGGCACCCAGAGCGGCTACTGTTGTAATACTACGAGATAAATTAATAATTATGTATTTAAATTAACAACAGAGGTTTTCAACCCATGGTAAACAACCCATCAAAAGTTATCATGATTCTCAGAGTATTTGTTTTCGAGTTGCAGACAAATTACCAATATATCTTGCATTTTAACTTCCTTGTACGAAGTAAAAAGGAAGTATTGTAATCGCGAAAAGCTTCAGGCAGCAGATTTCAAAGAAAATATCCACTTTGACCGCTTTCGAATGCTATTTATCGATGTTTTTGCGTGATATCTGTACGTAAGGACAGAATAAAAGACTCTTTTCTTCCCCACCCCCACAAAAAAAAAAAAAAAAAACTAAAAAACTGCTTTAAAATGAATTCTGAAGAGAATTTTTCGTGGCGTCTGTACGAACGTATGTACGTACGTATCTCGCATAACTCAAAAACGAGTAGCCTCAGAACGTTGAAATTTTGTATATAAGACTACTATAACATGCAGATGTGCACCTCGTATTTCGGTTTCAAACGGCCGAGCCAAACGTATATAAATATATTTATAAATATATCCACTCTGTTACCCGGCTCAGTTTCTTTACTCTTATATGTTTGTAAATTGTACATTTTTTGCTTTAAAAATGATTGAATTATGTTGTTCTTATCTTCCGGTTAAGCGTTTTATGCCTTTAGTAGATCTGTATGCAATAATTTTAGAATTATCAAGAATTTTAAAATTGTTTAAGTGCCACTAAGCCTAATTTGATGGCGGCCATTGCTCTTGTTTACATTTGAAACACCTGAGTAGCGGATTTGTTGCCAATCTAGAGAAACTTAGCTTCGCAACAACAAAGATAACGCCTTCATTTATTATTTAAATCATGCTTAATCCTTTCTGGAATTTTTTTGAGGAAATAAGCGTTTAAGATTTACTTCGTAATTTTTAATACAGATATTTTGAGTTTTTATGTATTTTTGCCTTGTCGCGAAGTGAAAACTGACGTTATTTAATAACTTTAATTATATATTATGTTGATATTCTCTACATGTTAAGATGTTTAGATACATACATTACTTTAAAATCTTAAATTTTAGAATTTTCTGTTTTAGGTTTAGCAGCTAAAAAATTCAAAACTACTTCTTCAAAATCAATTGTTTTCATGGGCTCCCTTTCAGTAGTCGAACACGAAAAGCAATGTCTATGTTATATAATAAGATTGCTCAGTTGAACGTAGCTCGTTGCAAACAGCAAAAAGGTTTGGGGGGGCGACAGGGGGTTAAGGAACTGTGTAATTAATATTGTTGTACAGTTCGGGATTTATAAACAGAGGTTTCATAGCACTAAATACACAAACTGTACATGATTTATACTAAATGTGGCAGTTCGACACTCTGTTTATCCTATTAACTTCTAGGTTTTAGACAAAATATTAAAGGAAAATTACAGTAATTAAAACAAGCAGAGAATATATACTCACAAGATAGCTCCATTTTGTAGTGCAGTCATAAAACATGCCACTCAGATAGCTGCCTAAAGTTAAAACAACATATGTGTATGAGTACAAACAAATTATTTTAATAGTAACCAGTTGTAGTTTCTATAATAGTCATCATAATAATACAATTAACATTCGTTTGGATTTATATAAGCGTGATAAAGATATTATCGAATGATTGCGGCAAAGAAATTATCGGTTTTAAACTTCACTTTTAAGTAAAGATCAAATTGATTAAACGTCGCTTACACTGTAAAGTTTGTTTTAATTAACACGTTTTTGCTTATGTAAAGTATATCCTACATGTCTTTTGTTCCAACTACTCCACCAGATTGTGTAAATGAGATGGTTTTAAACAGAATTTAGAATGTAAATTAAGAGAATGAGAAATGGAAACTCCAGCTGGTCTACAACAGATTCCTCTGTTTGAATCAATTTTGGGCAGTATTTTCCCGAGATGGTGAGTTACAATTTTGCTGTTGTATACTTAGTTCGTTAAATTTACCGAGCCTGGTCTAGAATATTATTTTAAACTTGGTGAAATATTCATCGTTTGAATTCTATGTTGTCTCTTATTTTGAGAAAAGTGGAACTCAGCTTGTGTTTAATTCATTTAGTACTGTATTGAAAACAACAATAAATTTTAGTTGATTTATTATTAAATATACATTTACTCATTAAATATACATTTACTACAATGTATATTTAATGTTATGGTACTTCAGTAAAGGCAGGGACGAAAACTCCTATTTCAGTTTACAAAGTTAGACTAATCTAAGTAAAAGTGAGTTTAACTTTGTAACATTTATATGGAATTATTACATTCGCCCGTGCATGCTCTCGTGGCGTACGTGGCAACACCATGAGTTTCCACTTAAGGGGGCTCAAACACCTTAAACCCCTTGTGATCTTCGAATATGTGACTGTTGCAAGAATTGGGGTATTTTATTTATTTTAAAAGCAATTATTTCCAACTTTTTACAGCTGACTACATAATATAGCTGCTTTCGGAACTAGTAACCAGAAAGTTTGTGTTGCCACAAATATTTTTGTAATTTAATCCGCTTTGTGACAAAATTTTTCGTCATGTTTCAACCATACTCGCATGACATTTTAAAAATGGCTAATTGGACATACTTGAAATTTGTTGGAATTCTTTATACGGACACTATCTTCTAACTGAACCCAAAATCTGATAAATATTTTAATATTAAAAAATTTTATGGACGAAAACATTACAGATTTTTTTAATGAAATACACTTTATAAACTCGACTCCAAATAAAATAAAAATTTAACATGAAATTCTTAGAACTTTTGGTTCACAGTAGCTTCCAAATGGTATAGAAGCTACATATTAAATATGGAATTAAATTATGCAACAGAATGTTATAAACTGTGCGCGCAAGGTGGAAACATGACGAAAGATTTTGTCACAAAGCGGATTAAATTATAAAAATATTTGTGGCAACACAAACTTTCTGATACTATTTCAGAACGCAGCTATATAATGCAGTCAGCTGTAAAATGTTGGAAGTAATTGCTTTTAAAATAAATAAGTTATCCCAATTCTTGCAACAGTCACATACGGAATGACGTTTTCCCCCAAACGGCAAACACTCTTTCGTTGCAGATGTCAAATTCGATAGAACTAAAATCCAGATATTGCTTATAATAAAGTTTCTTCTAATCTGGATATAAAAGTTTTAAAAGTCTATTTTGTTACGAAGGCCTAAGACATAAAAGCCATTAACCATTAACGGGTTTAAGCCCTAGCAATCAGGAAAGATAAAAGTTGCAAATGCATGAATAAGCAGCTGACTCAGCTATACCGTTGGCAGAATATGAGTTCATATTTGCTTCCCTGTGATTGGTCGGTTCTTGTACCACATTGACATAAAGCTGAACAATAACATTTAGACAAAATCCTTATACCAATTCATGTGACGTAACAAGGTATTTTGACTTAGCAACGAAATCCGTTTAGTACCCAATGTGACCGCAAAGTCCTCGTGTGAGCGCTTCTTAAGGCAGCTGATGCACAAAAATATTTGCGAAGATGTGGCCTGCGAAGAGCTGCACTCGCGACATTGAGAATGAACCTTGTGACCGGGGCCGGGGCCTCTACGGAATAGCGGTGCAGTTTCGTCCTCTCATCTGCTCGTCCCAAATAGGATGGCATCAAGCTGTTTGCATGCACGCCAATCATAATTAGGGATAGCTCTCAAAGAACTCATTTCGATCCTGACCCTGCAGAGGATAATTTACGCTAAATAACCAATTTATGACCTGGAACTTTATTATCACATTTCCTTTTCGTTAGCTTTCACCAGGATGTAAATGAGTTAAGACTATTTAAATGCAAGCTTTTAAAATTTTTAAACAGTCAGCTTATGGCAACTACGCTCGAAGGAGTACTTTTCTTTCACCCAGCTCTGGAACAGTAGTTACCTATAATTAGCTATTTTGCTAGCCGAAATAAATCACACAATTTGAGCCAACGCTTAGTTAGGATCTTTTCATTTGCAGTGTCCTGCATGGAGCTAATTTAAAAACAAAGTTTAATGTTATGTTAACTGATATCCCGCAATTAGCGGAAATTTATAATCATAACTAATACATTTGTTCAAGGTTAAGCTTTCAATAAGAAGGTTTGTTGAAACCTCTTCAAGACTTCGTGGTTATTTACAGGAGCTCTAAATTATTTGCTTCTCTTGGTAAGCCTAAAGAATTTTAGTTAAGTACAAAGAGTTACCCTATCCTGGCGTTCAAGAAAAATTCCAGGAGGTGTGACATTTAGTCTGCCCACCTTCAGGTTGGTGAAACATCACCAAGTCCTGCGGAAGAATCTTCTTGCATATTGGACACCATGGAAGCGTCTATGAAGCCATCAGCTCTGATGGTAGAAAATCATTTTGACTTTTGATTGAAAATTCATTTTCTACTATACCTGGTACGGGAGAAATAAAAAGTCGCCATAGCAATGGCCACGCGGAGTGGTTAAGCGCTCAGTTTGTTCAAGGGCATCAGGAATAATTTGCATACAGGAAAACAAACATCATTCGCAAAGAAAAAAATGTGATGTGTACACCACATGACTTCCTTGTACGGAATATTAAATTATACGCATTTTTTCTTGCATTTCGTTTAAACTTATTGGATTGAATAAAGTCTACTTCGCCGACAGCACATAAACCATAATAGAATAAATGCATTCTTTAAAAATTCACTCTGTTTACCATAGCGACACTCTGGCGCTAGGTTCACTTAACAGTATTATATTTCGTTCATATTATAACTCAGAATGCACAAAATTTATATCATTTAAAGAATTATCTAATCGTTGTCACATGTTCTATTCAAATACTATAATAAAGCTAGACCGATGTATAAAAGAAATTAAGGAAAAAGAACAAAAAAGAAACAGTTTTCCACAGACGATTGAGTATTTTTCAATTAATTCAGTTCTCACATCTCGACAAGGCAAAAATACATAAAACCTCAAAATATCTATATGAAAAATATCGAAGTAAATCCTAAACACTTATTTCCTCGAAAAAATTCCAGAAAGGATTAAACATGATTTAATTCGCAATAATAAATGAAGGCGTTATCTGTGTTGTTGCGAAGCTAAGTTTCTATGGATTGGCAACAAATCCACTATTCTGCTGTTTCAAATGTAAACAAGCAATGACCACCATCAAAAACATTATTAGGCTTAGCGGCACTTAAACAACTTTAAAATTGTTGATAATTCTAAAAATATTGTATATAGATTTACTAAAGGCATAAAAACCTTAACCGGAAGATAAGAACAACATAATTCAATCCTTTTCAAAGCAAAAAATGTACAATTTACAAACATATAAGAGTAAAGAAACTGAGATAACTGAGCCGGGTAACAGAGTGGATATATATATAAATATATTTATATACGTTTGGCGCGGCCGATTGCAACCAAAATACGAAGTGCACATCTACATGTTATAGTAGTCCTATATACTAAATTTCAACGTTCTGAGGCTACTCGTTTATGAGTTATGGGAGATACGTACGTACATACGTTCGTACAGACGCCACGAAAAATACTCTTCAGAATTTATATTAAAGCAGTTTTATAATTTTTTTTTTGGATGAAAAGAGTCTTTTATTCTGTCCTCACGTACAGATATCACGCAGAAACATCGTTAAATTGCATTTGAAATCGGTCAAAATGGATATTTTCGTTGAAATATGCTGCCTGAAACTTTTCGTGATTACAATACTTCCTTTTTACTTCATACAAGGAAGTAAAAAAAAAAAAAACTGATCTATAAATATTATTTGTAAAAAACTTAATGTCATTGGATTCAAACTCTTAAAAAAAACCCATTATAACTTTTTTTCTTATGGAGTCAACATGACAGACCTCAGCTGCTGTAACTGCTGTTATTGTATTCATTTTTCTTGTCCTTCTCGTACTTTTCGTAGACAGTTTTGCTTGACTATGATGCTTTCTTTCTTTATTTATTTAGTATGTGCTCCTCCATTGGGCACTACATGGAAAGGGAGGAATGCCCCGTGAAGGACTTTTTAAAGGAAACTGCCTCGTATCCATTTTAGACATTGGGGAGAAACCGCGAAAATCCCCATGCAGCCAGCCTGTTCGCCGGGATTCGAACCCAGGGCCGAAATACTATTGTTCAGTTACGGTCAGCCGCTAAGCCTAATATGATGCTTTGTAACAGCAATTTTCCACCATCTTGGGATAAACAAATTTAACTTTGTAAAGACTGGATCGGTTAATCTGCCTTTAGTTATTCGGGAGTTGACTGTAAGTAGTTCATAATCATGTGATTAAAGCGCTAGTTTAGCCATATAGTTTCAAATCCAACAAAAGTGAAAAAAATGTTCTTTTAAATAACAGTGATTACCTAATTACTTACAGAAATATTCTTTAGCTTCATCGATATCGAAATCATCGAAATCCTCTTCTGACATGGATGATGTTTCGTAAGACTCCCAGGAATCCTGAAGAAATGCAGTACCGAAGACAAGCACAAGGATAAACCATATTTTCAGCATTTACTGGAATGTGTAAGTACTTATTCAAAATATCATAATGCACGAGAAGAATTTAAGCTCTAATTCAATGAACAACTAAATTTATATTTAACACAGCACTCTAAATATGCGGACTGACCGGAAGCTTGTTCAGATGTCTTAAAAAGTTGGTTATATGCTACAGATTATGCACATATTTTCAGTAATGAAAACGGTGGAATTTTATGTATTATATCTTGTTTGATAAAAAAGTACATAATTAAATAATTTCATATTATTGTGTATTATGGTTTCGTACCGATCTGCTTAAATAGGCCAGATGAATAGGAAGATTTGAGATTTTATTGAAAGAAAGAATAACTCTTACAGCAAAATAAACGATTGTAAATAGCCCACGGAGAATAAAATAGGATGAAATTCTTCTTAATATGCGAGGAATGCAGCAAATCAACCAAATCATTTGTTGACCAAACCCCAAATCAGCAGTCACCTAACAAAAGTTCAACAAAAGTTCAACAAAATAAACATATTAAGACGTTCGATCCAACTAACTCACGGATACTTTATAAGGTATTTCTCCCACTTTCCTAGCGTGCCTTCGTGGTGTAACGGTAGCACGCTGGGCCGGTATTCCAGAGGTCCGTGGTTCGATTCCCGGCGAAGGCAGTTGCATATTTTTCATCTTTTCTGCTTCCAATATTCCCTATTGACTACAAGTGGCCCCCGAACTAAAAGGGTTGTGGATGATGATTCTCCGCATCCAGGATTTGGCGATTAGGACCCCTAAAACCCTAGTCGCCCTTTAAAAAGAGGAGTATATAAGGTATTTCTCCCACTTCCCTAGCGTGCCTTTGTGGTGTAACGGTAGCACGCTGGGCCGGTATTCCAGAGGTCTGTGGTTCGATTCCTGGCGAAGGCGGTTGCATATTTTTCATCTTTTCTGCTTCCAATTAACCTAATTATTCTACAACTTGTGTTTTTCCTCTGGCGTTCCGCTTGGGATAAGTACAGGTATAATTGAGTGGGACACCAGAATTTCACCTTAGGTTGTGCAGGTATAGTCCCAACGCGCACAAACTATATAACTCCTCCCCAGGTTTGAGGGATAACACCCCTGGGGGTTGTCCGAGTATCTGACACCTTTCTTCTTCTACCACCAACCACTTCTACAGGACTTTCGGCTCTCCATGTATTTTGAGTGCTCCCTTAGTGTACAGACACTATACACTTACAAACATCCATGTCTTCATCGGGATTCTTCGGACCAACAGTACAGCTGTTAGCTCCAACCTTTTAGTACATTCGGAAAAGACGCCACTTTCCTACCTGAAAAAGATAGCAATGGAGAAAATCATGGAATCATGGAAAGCTCGCTGGGACAAATCATCATCAGGAAGAAGAACTCACGAGTTCTTTTCAAAAGTTAACCATGAACTGAAAGTGCCCAACAGTTTTTCACGTGGTACTTCACAGACCATGGGCTTTCCCCAAAATATCTGAAGCGTTTTTTAGCTGGTTACTTCGGAACTTTGCCAGTGGGGAGAGATAGAAGGTCCTGATTGCTACTTTTTCAACTGCAATAGCATAGCCGACTACTACCAACAGGCCTCGAAGGCACATGACAACAGGCCCTTGACAGCTCGGATGAACCTGTATTGGGTAAAACAGGGGATTTGGCTGGAGGGGGGGAAGAGTCAAGCAAATGGCAAGTATAAGATCAGGTGACTCTGAGCAGCCAATCTGAAATGATTGCTCAGTCAACAGCAACAAAGTATTGAAATATGACTCATGACTGCTCATAGCTTCCGACTTATAGTGTTCTTTAAAAGGGAAAGTAAGCGCTTCTTGAAACTTCCAGAAAAATTTCTTCAAAGCTTTCGCAAAGTACGCTTTCTATAAACTTGCAGAATGTTGTCAAGTTGGAAAAAAAAATCGCCAAGTATAACCAACTTAGCGACAAAAACTGTAGGCAAGACTTGTGCAATTCTCAAGTTTTATTTCAGCAATCCTCACAATTCAAACGACATTCGACTCAATAGATCTACAGCATAACACATGAAATAAATAGTTGAAATGCAATAAGAGGTCACAAATTTGAGATTAAATAAACTGTACAAAATAAATGAACAAGAAATTAGTATATGACGTGCACAAATTAAATAAATAAGCAAATAAAAACAAATGTATAACAGAAAAGAAATACGTAAAACTATACTATAAGCAAACAAATACAAACATTTACTTAAGTTATAAGAATGCTCAAGCAAAAAATAAAAATAAAAATAAACACCAGCGGCCTAATGTCGCTGAACTCTGGTAGCTCGACCTAGGTTCAATTACAGGAGAACGGAGATGGCTGCCTGGGCGATTTTGTGGTTTTCATTATGTGCAATGTACTAGATACGAGCCAATATCCCTTAAAAAGTTCTTCACGAAGGCATCTCTGCCATTAGGCAGATAATCCTCGCATGCTTTGCCGTCATCGAATAAACCAAACCAAACCAAACCAGAAAAAAACTTTATTACAGGATTAAGAATTAAAAACAATAATAGGCCTAAATATACAGCATCTAACTGCTTCTTCATTAATTGTCGAAGTGTACAGATTAACCGAACTTTTCAAAAGAATCTCTCTCTCTCTATATATATATATACACATATGGATATAAATTAATGCAATGGCTTTTTTATAAAATATGTACAATATTATATCATTTTTTCATGTTTGTTAAACCAGAGTTTATCAATTTATGCTTCGGGGGCAACAAGTGGTTCTCGAAACCTTATAGACCTCCTAGATTTCTAAAAAAGACAAAAATTAAAATTCATATTGTTACGTTTTTCTTTGTTCTGACACCAGTTGTTACGTTATATTCTTCCTTCACGTTCGTACGGGGTTCGTAGATTTGGAGTGAATAACGACGACACTTGATGAAGTATCGAAACACACTTTATTTGACCAATATTAATCAGGACAGCTCCAAAATCACGTTTTACAGTCGTCGAAGATCTACTATAAACACGCTGGAAGAATCAGCGACACAGCCTTCATATTGTCAGGCAATAACGGTAGAGGCAGCTTCTTGCAAAGCACCCGACTCTGCTTTCCGGAGTACAGCTCCCGACTCTGCTTGGTAATTCTCGGAACTCCACGTGATCTCGAGACTCTCCACGCTAGAACTTGCGATGCACTAACCGCGATACACTACGAGACTCTTTCGGTGCACTCGACGACCCACTCGGCACTCGCTGCCCGGCTGTCAACTCTATCGACTAGCAGGGATTGACTCGCTAGACGAGACACCAACTCGATACTAAAACTAACTCGCACTCTAGACGAGACACACACACTCGCCCTCTCGCCGAGGCTCACTCTCCCGATACTAATTCTTCGCGTACCAGCAGGGTTTATATAGTTTTTGGCTGGTGTTCGAGAACATTCTGGCCTAAACCGGTAAGAATTCGTTCCAGAAGGTTCTCCATCCGTCCATGGCATATCGCCAATTTTGTCGCCAAATGGGCGATTTTTCACCAACTATGGCAACCTTACCTTCCCTTGCCATTTTATGGCAATCTTAAAACTGCTTTGCGTGGAAGCCATCTGCACATTTCGTAACAATATTAACTGCATGTACCACGTTAGCTAAAAGTAACACAGTCTGGAAATTACCCTAGAAATTCTCTAGGACTTTTTCCCTCAAGACTAATATTTTACTAAATGTATTATAAGATATTTCTCCTGCCTTCTTGGCTTGCCTTCCTGGTGTGATAGTCTGCACGCTAGGCGCGTATTCCAGAGGTCCGTGGTTCGATTCCCGGCGAAGGCGTTGCTAATTTTTCATCTTGCCTGCTTCCAAAAAATACCTGATGTCTCTGCAGTGGCGCCCGATCTAAAAGGGTTGTGGATGATGATTCTCCTTACCCAGGGAGTAGCGACTGCGTCCCCTAAAATCCCCAGTCGCCCTGTAAAAGGAGGAGTATATAAGGTATTTCTCCCTCCTTCTTGACATGCCTTCGTGATGTGGTGGTCTGCACGCTCGGCGCGTATTTCAGAGGTCTGCGGTTCGATTCTCGGCGAAAGCGTTTGCTAATCTTTCATCTCTCCTGCTTCCAAAAAAATATTTAGTGTCTCTACAGTATGATCAGTTATCTTACCTAGGAACTTTTCATTCTAGCTTTAGCAACAAAAGAGGGATTTAAAGCACTATGAATGATGTGTTTTTTACCAGCATACATCCAAACACAGAACAGCTTTGAAAGAATCGGCAAGTTCGTCTCATGAAAATCAGTATCAACGTTTATTCAAATTTTAATGCCTAAGATAAAGATTATCCAGACTCTAATAGACCTGAATTGTTAAAAACAAATCTAAGTTTTTTTTTTTTTTGATTAAATTAATAAATGCTTAATACCAATAAAAAAACTAAAAGAATTTTAATTTATTGCATTTCAAAACATTTTACCACTAACATATGCTTAAAAAAATTGCTGTCGAAGAGGGCAAGAATAAGAAAACCGCAGAACATTCTCATTTATTAAAGTGGTCCTCATTTGAAAAAAATTTAAGAAACACTGATTTAAACCAATGAAAAATAAAAAAGATGCAAATAAATCAACAACAATCTTATTTGTCACAGAAAGAAGAGAAGGATTTTCGGTCATTTGGGTTAGGTAAAATCAAGTCAATCCATTAAGGCAAAGCCCACCAGGGGAGGGGGAAAGAATGCCTTTGCGAAGGGTCGTAGTCATGTTACTTATGAGAAAAGTCGGGACATAACCATAGAGTCATCTCATTCACTTTGATTGAAACCTGGATCGAACTAGCAGCTTTTAGTAATCTTCTCCGTTCGGCCATAGGCGAGTTTCGTATTTCTTGAGTTCCGGTTGCTACAATTTGGATCATTGAAATTTTACTAAATCTTCTATTCTAATTTGAGAGATACCGTCGCTAAATTCACACTAGTTTGTTACTTTTAACGCGATATTCAAGTAAACAAATTAATAAAATCTTTTACATACGTGTTCTTCAAGTGACGCTTCTAAAAACAGCCACGCAGAGGAAATGCCACAGTACTTTTATTGACTCCTAGCTAATTTCTAACAGAGCTCAAACTGGGTTTCAAAACTGAGGTTTTATTGTAGGGTCTTTGGAACGAGGAAGTAATACAGCAGCTCGTGCGTGATCATTTAATTCAGCAGCTGTTACACAATATAAGATACAAAATTTCATAGCCTATTGTGGTAAGAATTTAGTTTTCCTTATTTGTGATACACCCAGAAGCTCTTTTCTTTATTTCATCTGCACTAGACGGAAATGTAAAAATTATATCTCATTCTGCAACCAAAACAGTTTCAATAAGTTTTGAATCGAGTAAGAATTCAACATCTGATGAAACAATATGCGGAAATGCATAAGTGTATGCGAATTTATAATCAACTTCTGATTTTTACAGAAAATTTACAGAAAAATACCTTTAACAATTTACCCGCATTTTCAAGCAGTTTAATCTGGAGAATAAATTCATTTAATTAAATTATGTAAAAATTTTTTAATTTTATAATATTAAGTGAATTAAATCAATATTAGAAACAATATGCTGCTACAATGCTTTTAAAAAGTTTTGTGATTTTGCTGAAACATCGGGAACTAATACAGCCATCAAATTTTGAATAATGTAATCCTCCACCCGAATATGGATACTTGGAAACCCGAATTTTTAATTTCGAATTTTTTTTTATTGTGTATTTCACATTTTGTAAAAATTTAACGAATTTTTGATTGACCAAATCAATGATTTCCAAGCGAGCAACGGCAATACTGCACGGGAAAACATTTTTATCTCCAGCGCGCAAGGATGTCTATCGGAAATTATAAAGATATGCTTTTTATAAATATTATATTGTGCATTTCAAATTTTGTAAACTTTAACGAATTTTTGACTCAATGAGTTGAATGAAATGACTCAATGAAACTCAATGAGTTCTTACGTTTATGGTCTTATGTTTAATTTTTTATGCTTTTTAAATAATACAGGTCGATAATATTTAATGGGAACAGTTTGAAAAGTGATATAGCCCTTTAAAGTGATTTCCCGCAAAATGCCATTTCGAGCCATTAGTTCTGGGCTAACGTCTTTTGGGCTAAAAAGTATTATTAGTCGTTATTCTAATTATGTTATTTGAACATTTCGTAAATCTATAGGAATGCCAATTGTTGCTGAAGTTCAATTAAATTCAAGGGAACAAGTTCCGTAAAATGGAATATCAATTTTATAAACGAAATGCTTCGTTGCGACATCTTGATCATTTACTGGATTTCTGCAATTTGTTAAAATGTTATTTTGCATTTAAAAATTCCCATCATTTGTTAATTTTGTCTGAATTAAATCTGATGTAAAAACATCTTTAAAACCTTTCTCATTTTCTAAATTATCTTAAGTCGTTTTGTTAGAAATTCTCAGTTTAGATACATTCCTCTTCCAGGAATTTTTTTTTCATAATACTAGTAGTTGCGCTTATAGCGGCTGCTTTTGCAGCTGCTGTTAAAGCAAGAATCAGATAAGAACGAAATCCTTCCCCCTTTATTCTGATTTATTTGAGATTTACTCAAAATTATCCTTTCTCCATATTGAATTTCCTTTACCTACTGCTGCACATATAGTAAATCATATTTGTTTAGGCCCACATTTTTCAAAAGTTGATGGCAATCATAGGCAAATGCAACGGCGAGAGTGAAAGAAAGATCATGCGTTGCCATGGTGATTTTTTTTTTTTTTTTTTTTTTTCCTGTTCAAATATGTTTGCATTAGTACAGTCTGCTTGAAATTTTACTTTATTACATAGATTCTACACAATTTAATTTTCTTTAAGAGGCTCAAATACAGCTTAAAACTGCGCATAGAACAGAACACCAAATGATGAGAACATCATTTAAACAAAAAATAACTGTTGTTATTCCATGTAATATAATTGTAGTGACGTTATTGTAACAATAATAATAAATAACAACTATAGATTCACTCATCCTGAAAATTATTAGGAAGTTATATGGTCTGTCAGAGAAGAAGACTCATGTTTGTGTCTTTTCAGAAGCAAAGATTAACTCTCATGCAAGTAATCATTTAAAGTCTTTTCAAAAGCCTCATGTCTGCTCAGGCACAGTAAATCACTGCCTTGAGAATCCTCTTCTGTTGATTCCTTAGTGGTGTAGTGGTTCAGTGTTTTGATACGGGTTCAGGAACTTCAGTAGCCAAACCTTCATTCTATTGAGCAAAAGAATCTGAAAATTGCTGGTTTCATCTAACCCGGTATCTTGGGCATGTATATGCGTATCTCTTCTAGATGCTAAATAGCGTATTGAGACATCAGTTTCACGTGCATCTAGAAGTTTAACAAAAGCATAATCTGGGTTAGCTTCAACGAATTCTATTTCCTGCACAATAGGCTCATACTTATTAGCTCGAGTATGGTTCTTCAAAAGGTCTGACTTTTCCGGGTTGTGTTGATCATGCAAGTGAAGCGCGTCTATGATCTTCTAGCATGGATAACATACGTTCATGTGGTGTGGCATTTGTTGCTATATATAAAAGAAACAAGAGTGACCGGATCGAATGCAAAACCGATTGTAGAACTCCTTCCCAACGTTCGATAGCCATTTGTTTTTCATTTTCGTGACAAATGGTTTGAGGATTACATGCATATGCGATTTTTTGCTACACCAAATGAACTTAAGAAGGATTTTAATTCATGAGACATAAATGAAGATCCTCTATCAGAATGTATGTAGATTGGCATCCACAAAATTGAGAAAATACTTTGCAGATGAGCAATAACAGTAGCATATGACATATTAGACCAAGGTATTGCAAAAGGGAATCTTGAAAACTCGTCCATAATAGCACCGTGGAACCGATTCCTGGAAGCTGTACGAAAAGGACCTTAGAAATCCAGATTTAATCGTTCAAAATGTGCAGCAGCTTTAATTAAGAGTCTTTTAGATCTACGGATGCGAGATTTTACTTCACTGCAGCCTAAACATGAATTAACAGTTCTTCTAATTTCTTCTAGTGAAAAGGCAAATTTTTAGATCTTATCCAGTGATACATTCGAGTTGAAAACGTTCGGATGAAAACACTCATCATTCTAGTGCCTTTAGATCTAGTTTGAAGGTTTTATCTAGTTTGAAGATCTAGTTTAGCTTCATTTATTCTTGAAAGTGTCTGCAGTATCATTTTCATTTCCACGGCGATATTTAATATCAAATTTGAAACAAGTTCTAATACCAACGCAAAATGTTCTTTTTTTAATTTTGCTGTAATGCTGTTGATCAAACATAAATGCCAAGGATCTCTGATCTGTAAAAACTTCGAAGTGCCTGCCAATTAAATAATGTCCCCAGTTTCTTAAAGATTCAACAACATCATAAGCCTCTTTTCCAGTAGAGGAGTGTTTTCGTTCTGAACAGTTTAGAGTTTTAGAGAAGAAAGCTGTAGAGCGACCAGCTTGACTCAAGGTTGCTCCTATTGCAAATTCATCAAATTCATAAGCGTCAGTTTCAACTCTGAATGGTACATTATGGCCACTTGCAGCTAAAGAAGCTTTGGCTACATCTCTCTTGGGAACTGAATGCTTTCTCGGCATCTTTATTAATGGGAAAAGGTTCTTTAGTATAAAGAGGGCTAATCTTTTCAGAAAAAACTGGGATTCCAGAGGCAGTAATGAGCAAATATTTCCAGTGCTCATTGTAGAGAAGCTATATCTTTAGGAATTGGTAAATCCATTAGTGTTTTCAATCCATCAGAATCAGGTTATATTATAATAATGGTTATAGAGTAATCCAACAGTTTTACTGTGCATTCTTCCTTATTCAGGATTAGATTATGTTTCTTAGCAGCAGCCATAAATCTCTAAGTTATTATTATGCTCAAATTCATTCTTGCCATATACAGTTACATCATGAAGATAGGAAAAGGTAGGGAAATTTTTCATTTGAAATTATTTCATCAATTGTTCTTTGGAAAGAAGAAACTCCACTTTTTATATTAAAGGGAACACGTAGAAATTGATATAGTTTATCAACAGCTTCAAATGCTGCATAGCGTCTCTCTGATTCTTTGATAGGAACCTGACGATAAGAATTTCAGAGGTCAATTGTTTAAATATTTTATATTTTGATACCTGTGAAATCAACTCTTCAATTTTGGAAAGAGAGTAAGCAACAAACGCAGGAAATTTGTTTATAGTCCGAGAATAATCTATAACCATTCTCGGTCTGTGATGTTCTCCTTTCACAACAAATGCTTGTGCACGCAAAGGAGAATTATTTGCCTCAGTTACACCTTCTTTAATTAATTTACATTTTTCTGGAGCTATGAATATTTGATCTTCTCCAATTTGGCATCTTGACTTTGTAACAAGAGCTCTACAATCAGGCGTTAAATAAGAGAACAATGACACAGGGGATACAACAGCAGTGGCTAATGAACAAATTCTATAAGGTGGACTGTCACCTTTAAATTCTATCTGAACTTTGAACAGAATGATCTTTTAGTTATTAAATCATGCCCGATAAGAAAGTCTGCATAGAAATTTTTCATAATTAATACATCTGTATTAGTATATAAAGTATTTCTCCCGAAATCCTAGCGTGCCTTCGTGGTTCTGCACCCAGTGTGCAGAACCACGAAGGTCCAGAGATCCGCAGCGAAGGCTTTGTTAATTTTTCCACTTTCCTGCTTCCTAAAAATAACCTAATGTCTCTACAGTGGCGCCCGAACTAAAAGGGTGTTGGATGATGATTCTCTTCACCCAGGATGTTCCGAGTGGGTCCCCTAAAAACCCCAGTCGCCCTTTAAAAGGGGGAGTATATAAGGTATTTCTCCCGAAATCCTAGCCTTCGTGGTGTAGTGGTTCTGCACGCTGGGCCGGTATTCCAGAGGTCCGCGGTTCGATTCCCGGCGAAGGTGTTGTTAATTTTTCACCTTTCCTGCTTCTTAAAAATAACCTAATGTCTTTAGAAGTATATAGATGGGCTTGTAATTTAATAATAACTAAAGAACAACAATAATATCTGAGCTTAGAGAAGAGTTAGCCATGGTTATAGTACCAAAATATGGTTTTAGTTGAATTCGACATCCTTTTACAAAACTGACTGACCTGTCCGTATACATTAGGGCATTCAGCTTAAACCGATTTACTAGGACATTAATTATTGGCCTTTTAAGACAGTGAGGAAGCATCAAAGCTGATGCTAGTGTATAAACTGCCACTGTGGGAATTAGTAATACTGCATACAAGTTTGGGATTTGCACACCTTTTTGGTAATGGCTCTTTTTACCACGTCCTTGACATTGCATACCTAGCTGGGCAAACACTCCATAAATGACGGCCACTTCCACAAAAGAAGCATTTTCTGCAACAAATAGGAGCAACTACTGCCAATTGTTCATTATCGTCATTTTTCTCTCAAATTGTTCAACAGCAGCTACCGGTGCTGAGAAAGACAGAATGATATTCAGCAAGCTCTAATGCTCTGGCTTGATCGTACGCTTTTTCTAATGAAATACTGGCATTTTTTAATAACCTTTCTTCAATGCGTGGATTCTTTAAACCTCGGATGAATGCATCTCTGATGCACTCATTTTTATATTTTTCAGATGTAACAGATTGAAATTCACAATTATTGCTCAATTGTTTTAATACTTATAAATATTCATTCATTTAAAAGCTCACCCGTTTCTTGAAATCGAGACAATAAACAGTGCCGGGGAAATATTTCATTTCTTTTAGCAATGTACAATGAATCTAGATCATTAATTGCACTGTGATATGATTCTGAATAACTAATACTATGATGATAAAATACATTCAGATACTGAAGTTACATAACAGTTGTAGTCTTCTTCCCTCCATTGCCTCCTTGTGTGAGGAAATTAGAAAAAGTTCTTTTCCAATGTTTGCATTAGTAAATTCAACGTTAATTTACCTTGAACTTTACTTAATAGTTTCCTGTCGCAAGTAACACGGACATAAGCTTTCCTTTGCGCTAAGTTCGGAATTAAAAGATTGTTTAAATGCTCTTTTGAGATTGTTATTGTTTCACTAAGACGGGTTGAAAGGCAGTCTCACAAGAGGATATGTTTAGATAAATAAATGAACGTTTCCCGATAACGTTAAAAACCGCCTAATTTTTTTTTAGTCCAAAGGGACTTTGTCCTTGTGGGACTATTGTTTTCGTTTTGCGATTTTGCGTTGAATCACTATGGTGTCTGTTTCACTTTTCAAACTGTTGCCACCAAATGTTAGAGTCCTGCATTATATTTAAAGAAATTGAATAATGAAAAATCTGCATAAATGTAGAAATATTTTTCGCATTGTGATAAAACAATGGTACTTAGAGCCATTGAATTTTGAATGATGTAATCCTCCTACGAATATGGGCATGTGGAAGACCAAATTTGATATTTGTTTCATTATCGATTTCATATTTTGTAAAACTTTAAACGAATTTTTGAATAACAAACTCAATGATTTAAAAGCGAGCAATGGCAGCACTCTTTGGAGGAGAAAGACCTTTTTATTTCCAGCATGCGGAACTGTGTATCAGAAATACTAAAAATATGCTTATTTTAATATTATTTTGCGACATTGCTATTGAACTGAATTTCATGGTTTAAGTGCAAAGAACACAATATTTATTAAATAAAGGTAACACACAAAATGTTAAAAAAAAGCCCCTTTGGACATAATTTAATATCTGAAACCTTTCAGAATTTTTTTTAAATATACTTTTTTTTCTAAATTTCTTAATCAAATAATCTTAATTTACTACTCATTATCCTACTGCTATCATTCTAGGAAGAATTGCTAGTCTGCTTTTAATCATTAAGGACCATAGATAACTTCTTATTAGTTTAGCTTCTGAGCTAGTATTAGCTTATGTTTTGATAAACAGACTTGTGTTTTATAACATATTTTAATGCATTAATTCTCCCACCATGTGAAATAAAAAATATTACACTAAAAATGTATTACATTTTCTTGATGAATAATACAAAGAATGTCATCTGTATATATATTTTTTAAAGTATTTTACTTTTTTGCATACAAATTCTTAAGTAGGCATTTGAGGATACTAAAAATGGAAGGGACTATTATGATCACGTTTTGTGTTATTAGCTAATTGGGGAGAGGTAACTACAGCTGCATCTGATGCCCACTGAGGAACTCAAATAACTATGTCTTCATGCACGGCATATTTACTCTTTCACATATAGCAACAGTGTTAGACAACACCTTTATTTTTGTAAGGTTTATCCTAAGTTGCAAACAGTTATTTTTAGTTAAAGCCGCTTTCCTATCATTCTTAATTTCAGCTCACAATTTCCGACCAGAATGTGTTTTCAGAATCGCGGTTAAATGCAAATGAAGGAAGAGTAAGTATTTAAAGCTGAAGTTCCACTGACTTCGTTGGAGAGTAAGATTCTGACCAGCGTGCACTCGCCTTTTGGCTATATTCTCTGTAAGCTATTAACTCGGCCATATTTCAGGCCCTCGATAGCTTCGCCGTTTAGTTAGCATTAAGAGGCCAACACCCGTAGAATTTTGATAGCTTTGGCTATATCTTTTCAGTTAAGTTTTATTTCTTAGTATTCTTGAGTTCAAGCCCCAAGTAGACTCTTCTGTCGTCCTGAGTTAAGACCGACTGTTAACTTTATTTTTGAGCAATAAAGGGTAATTAACCCTTCGTGAATTTGCGTTTCTATCTTTCTGAACTAAGCGATTATTCGCTTAACGTTCCACACACACACTGCTGTAAATTCTAGGTTGGTACATTACATTTTAAAAACCAGGTTATTGAAAGAAAAAAGAAATGATTTTAGATGCCGAAAATCAGTTTTGGGCAAAAGTAACAAAACATTAAATCAAAAAAATAAATTCAAATCTTAAGAAATATGTTACAAATTGGGTTGGCAGACATGTAGTCAAAAATTGGGAAAGCTGAAAAGTCTGCATAAGGGCAAAAAGTTAATTTTTGCCCAAGCTATTAATTTAATGAATACGAAGATATTACAAATTTGAATTCATACAAGTTAATGAAAATACATAAGCATTTATTTTCAAATATTACCATTTGAAATATAAGCAGTCAAATACAAATTGCTTAATTACTTTATATTTTGTTTTAAATTTAATAATTAACAAATGAAAATCTTAACAAGCAAAAACAAGTTAAAATTGAAATGTACAAGCAAGCATTTATATAATGTTTTAGTAAGTGATGAAAAATTCTATACAGATGCTAGCAAATGATATGTACAAGAGGGCTCTCAAATGGGTGAATCATCAAATAGCAAACTGATGACATTTTATCTAGCAACTTCCAGCTGTACTTTGTCAGATTTCATAGACTGCTCTTCTTCATTTCTCTGAAAATCCTCCTAAAAATTAAATAAAAACCACGATTCAAAAATGGTTAAAACATATTTCAGTTATGGAAAAGACAGAAATGCATTATACTATATTGTTTAAGTATTATCAGAAAAGAAAGGGGAAACAATTATATTCATTTCAAAAACACAGCCAAGTGAGTTTTCACAGAATGATCATGTCTCACAATTTAATCTTCAAGTAAGAGAGATATAAAGGTGGTAAAATGTGTAGTAATATAATGAATATACAAGATGTTGTAAAATAAAAGCTTTATTTCCTCAACCCTTTGATCCTTGAGGAACTAATGCATCCTTCCTATTAAGATGCATGGCTGTAGCTTATTTACATCCATAGTGATGTGACATGGTATGTCGCAGAACAAACAGATGTTAGGCCATACAAAAACTTACTTATATGTATGGCAGTGATGAAATAGAAGCAAATGAATTCTTTTATTTTGTTTGTATATATACTTTTAAAAAATCACAAGGCATCTTTACTTCTTTTACGTACATCAAAGTATCTTAAATAATGATATTCCACATACACTTTCAATTAACAGGCTTCTGAAGAAATTTTTAAAAAAATTTCTTTTTATACAGAGTATAATGCTATAACAAACACAAAAGACTGGCAAACTGCATTACTTTAGTGTGTCAAATTAAAAAGAAAAAAAAAAAAAAAAAAATCAAAAAATTTTGTGTGCTGAAATTGGAATTTCCTACATATGCGTTACATCTTTTTTGAAACTTTTACTAAATTTACATTAGGAGATAATATAATTAATATTTCTTTAGTATATATATATAGAGAGAGAGAGAGAGAATCCCTCTTTAGACTATATCTGGACTCGTCAGTAAACTATACTTGGGCCCAGTCGTCTTGGCTCCATTGAACATTCTGATGGCCCAGTTCAAAAGGGCCCCTCTGGGGTTGGGAGTGAGCGAGACACATACCATTGTTTTTTTTTTTTTCCTCACATATAGTACAATCTTGTTAAGCCTTTGTGCAACAGTAGATTGGAAAATTTGAGTTCCTGTGGCAGCCTTAAGGTTTAAAACCAAATCTCTTGTGGCCACTTCATGGCTCCTTCAAGCCAACGATGACAAAAAATGGTTTTCTGATGCAGTTGTTGCTATTGCTCACCCTTAATCAGGCTATATATCTACTGATCAAGTGCTTAAAAAGCAGTTCAAGTTCTTGATATGATACTTTGAGGGATATTCAAATCCTAGGACCTCCATTTGTGTTTGACCTCCCTCAATTCTACCAATTATTTGCCACTTTTGACCTTCACTTAAACGATGCCTTTTTCCAGCGCTAATGTATGCATGGAAGTGTAATTTTGTGTTCAATTGCATTTAATTAACATAAATAATTACAGCACCGGGCACTGGTTGCAACATTAACTTAGTGAGGATATTTTTTCTCATTATTCTTTACTTTTGATGACCAGTGTATATACATTTACTTCTTTAGTTGCATGTTTTATATGATATATATACAAACAAACTATCATAATAAACAAAATAATAGGAATGGCACTTACATCAGTAATCTAAATAATGTTTTTAAAACAGCTGATTATATTACATTTGCATTATTGCCATTTGCATTTAGTGCACTAAAAAGTAGTTTCGCAACCTTTTCAACCCATAACCGACTTCTCAATTTGTTGTGTACAGCTATAAAAAAAGAAAACATTTTTTCAATCCTAGCTGATGAAACTCTTACTATGCTTTACATTTCAATGATATCCCATTCTTTTCTACACTATGCATTTTTACTCAAGAACTCTTGACTACCATCACTCAAGTGTGGCCATTGATTTGAATACCTCATTTTCAAAAGGGCTTCCAGAGAAGGGTGGAGCACAAAATTCAAATTTCAATGCAATGTTGAACATTGTTTACTCTTCTTTTATTAATCCAATTGCTCTTATTTTCATTTGCTGATAATAAGGTTTAAGCTTTATATTTTGGTGATAAAAAACATGCTAAAAAATGTGCTGATGAAGGCACTTGTTTACCATATTTAATTGCAAATTCTCCCCTAGCTTTTCAGAGCCAGGTTCTAAAAATTTTTTAAATATTTGCATAATTTCCCCTTCTTCAATATGTTTACAGAATGAGCTTCCCTAAATTTTAAAACTGATTCCTCCCCATAGTCATCCTTCTCATCAAACTAATGGGACAAACGCTAGCAAACTACATGCAAATGTCCAACCAATCTACCATATATATTGCTACGAAATGTACAGGTGCGTTAAGATGGCTTTCCCGCAAAGCAGTTTTAGGGTTGCCACATTTGGCGAGCAACAAAATTGGCGATATACCATGGACGGTTGGAGAACCTTCTGGAACGAATTCTTACCGGTCTAGCCCAGAATGTTCTCAAACACAAGCCAAAAGCTATATAAACCCTGCTGACCTGCAGTCAGTAAGTGTGAGTGAGTGCCTTGTCGAGAGGGCGAGTCAGTGTGTGCCTCACATAGAGTGCGAGTTAGTTGGTACTGAGTTGGTGTCTCATCTAGTGAGAAAATCGAGTTGACAACTGGGCAGAGAGTGCATCATCGAGAGAGCGTGTTGAACTCCGGGAACGACTGAACCGAAGAATCGGGAGCTGTGCTTTGTGTGTCGTCGAGTGCATTGCGAGTTGTAGCGTGGAGAGTCTTGAGAGTACGTGTAGTTCCAAGAACAACCAAGCAGAGTTGGGAGCTGTACTCTAGTGCTTTGCCATGAAGCTGTCTTTACCGTGACAGCCTGATAACCTGGAGGATGTGTCGCTGATTGTGTCAGCGTGTTTATAATAGTTCACCAACGACCGTAAAAAGCGACTTTGGAGCTGTCCTGATTAATATTGGCTAAATAAAGTGTGTTTCGATGCTTCATCAAGTGTCATTATTATTCACTCCAAATCCACACGAACCCCGGACGAACACGAAGGAAGGAAAATAACGTAACAACTGGTGTCAGAAGGAAAAATCCCAGCAATACGCTGTCTGATCAACTAAAACATACATTTCCCTGTTCTTCATGTATATCATTTAATAATTTAATATTTAAGTCACTTTTAGATCGTGGCTTATATCCAGGAAGCAGGATTTCCATTAACCAGTGTTTCCTACACTAGACAATGGTGCATTCGTAGCTTTAAAAATTTTACTTACTTGGATGATCTAGTTTAGATTTTTGAGAAGATTGTTTTTATAACATAGTCTTAGATTAAGCACATACTATTTTCACAAAATATTTTAAACAATTTTACTTCTTACAATCATTTTTTATTGCTTAAACAAAAAATCCAACCTGAGAACACTGCAACTAAGAATAAAAATGTACTGCAATACTTACAGGATTATATATCACTTTCACAACCAAAGAACAACTTGGACATGTTGCAACATCTTCACCATTTGCAAGATCTTCCTAGAATTAAAATAATATTATTTCAATCAAAGCAATATAATAAAATATAAAAAATATCCTATTTACTGATTAAAAATTTACGGTATTACTCACGCATGGAAAGTAATAATGCATTCTAAATGCTAATAATGCACAGCATATAAAATATTATTTTTCCTTCTTAAATTCTAAATGTAACTTAGCATTTAGAATTTGTGAATTTATTTTAAAATGAAAGGTTTAGTATTGATTGGGACCCTATTTCAAAAATCCTGAAAATTACCATAAAGTAAAAATCTAATATAATTTTAAATTATTCTGATACACATATCTACAAACATATTTTCAATTTCATAATCAAAAGCAAAAAGAATATACCAGAGGCATAGCTAGGGTGGGGCAAGGGGGTACATCTGTCCCCGGGCGCAGCATTCAGGGCGCGACAAATTGATGTTACGAAATTTTACCGTTCTTGGCACAGAGAAAGGGACGCAAAATCTTCAGTTGTCCCCGGGCGCTGAAAACCCTAGCTATGCCATTGGTATATACAGTCAAAAAGTCGTTAATCCGGACTCGTAGGGACTTGGGCGATTCTGGATTATAGATCATCAGTTTAAATCTGGTAAGATGGCATGCAGAAATTATAAAATTAAAAATATGAAACCGTAATTTATGAAATAAAAAACAATTATGATCTAAAGGGTATCAAAATTTACAAAAAAAAAAAAAAATGCTTAATATTTATTTGTTTACTTCATTAAACATTTCTTTCAATATAAGTTGTGGTTGATCTTTACAATATGGTAACTGGTAGTTTGGCGACATTTTGGAGGCGATAAAGGTTACTACCTGGCACTTTGATAATAATGTGAGCAGTACTCAGTTCCGATTACGCATTATTTTGTGTGAGGGAAATGAGAGATCATGGGATATGTCATGTGATATTAATGGACGAATTACGGTTCTTTAATCGGAAAAGGGGGGAAATCAAGAAAAAATCTGGAAATTTTGTATGTGGCTTTATTCTGTGTTGTGTGAAACAGTGTTCGTGAATTTTTGGATCCCATGGCCGTAACTAAAGTGAATTCGGAATGGGTATTTATGTATGTATTAATTTAATGTATGTGCTCATTTATATTTTAAGTAGTGTTTTTGAATTTAATTATATTTTAATTAAATGATAGCTATTTTGTGAATTTTATGTTTGTAGGAATTTGGTATACGTTTTAGTTGAAGTAAACGTGCATGAAAAATATGCACGAAATTTAAATATCTGACAATAAGTATTTGTAATGGTTCCGGTATGAATTCGTTGGTGACGTGTATAATGTAATAGATGATTTAGAGGTAAAAGTTTTTGGATATTTTATTTATTTTATATGTGGAAATGTTCATTACTTTTTCGCGATCAGGTAATTTCATATATGTTCTTTTTACCGGGTTTAAAGATTGAGAAAATTGTCATGTATTTTTGTGAAATTTTTCTAATTTATGAGAAAAAAGCAGTGTACATGGATATAGTGAAGAGTGTGCGCAATGCCATTTTTGTGCAATTCTGGGATGTTTTTTTAAGTAAAAATAAGTCGGCGTGTACATGGTTTAGTGATATTTTAATTAAATGATAGTTATTTTGTGAATTTTATGTTTGTAGGAATTTGGTATACGTTTAAGTTGAAGTAAACGTGCATGGAAATAATTTAAATATTTGACACTAAGTATTTGTAAAGTTTGCGGTATGAATTCCTTGGTGACGTTTATAATGTAATAGATGATTTAGAGGTAAAAGTTTTTGGATATTTTATTTATTTTATATGTGGAAATGTTCATATTTGGAAAGGGTAAATACTTTTTCGCGATCAGGTAATTTCATATATGTTCTTTTTACCGGGTTTAAAGATTGAGAAAATTGTCATGTATTTTCGTGAAATTTTTCTAATTTATGAGAAAAAAGCAGTGTACATGGATATAGTGAAGAGTGTGCGCAATGCCATTTTTGTGCAATTCTGGGATGTTTTTTTAAGTAAAAATAAATCAGCGTGTACATGGTTTAGTGATATTTTAATTAAATGATAGTTATTTTGTGAATTTTATGTTTGTAGGAATTTGGTATACGTTTAAGTTGAAGTAAACGTGCATGGAAATAATTTAAATATTTGACACTAAGTATTTGTAAAGTTTGCGGTATGAATTCGTTGGTGACGTTTATAATGTAATAGATGATTTAGAGGTAAAAGTTTTTGGATATTTTATTTATTTTATATGTGGAAATGTTCATATTTGGAAAGGGTAAATACTTTTTCGCGATCAGGTAATTTCATATATGTTCTTTTTTACCGGGTTTAAAGATTGAGAAAATTGTCATGTATTTTCGTAAAAATTTTTCTAATTAATGAGAAAAAAGCAGTGTACATGGATATAGTGAAGAGTGTGCGCAATGCCATTTTTGTGCAATTCTGGGATGTTTTTTTAAGTAAAAATAAGTCGGCGTGTACATGGTTTATGTGTATGTGTTATTTTGAAAAACGCGTAAGGAGTATGGTATTGTGCACTTTTTCCCAATTTTGCAGTGAATATTTGTCATGATTAAGCAGTTTTGTTAGATAAAATTTCTAGCATAAGTGTAATTCGGCTAGTAGATTGTTGGAAGAAGTGTTCAGTAGATAAAAAGAAAAGAAACATGTCTTTACTTCGTGAAGACAAAATGACGGCGGGAAAAAAAAAATAGAGGGTTGCTGTAGGAGAGTTGGTCGCCAAATTTTTGCCAAAAAATCGCCAAGTTACCATAATGTAAAGATCAACCTAAGTTGTTTACGTTGCTTCATTTTTTTATGTGATAATACTTTCTCTTTGATTCTATAAACAGACATAATTTCTTGTTCAGTTACAAAGGAAGCGAATTATAATGATGAGGAATTTGATTTAAATCATATCAAAGACGGAGTACATCGAGATGAAATACTACATTTAGTAAGGAATTATATGCCAAATAAAATAAAACATCTGCCCTGAAGATAAGGATAGTGCTGACAGATCAACTTCCAGTTCATTGCGCGCCGCGATGTACAACCCCCCTCCCCCCCCACACGCAGAGCAGCGTGGAATTGATAAACAGATTTCGTAATGGTTAGATAAACAAATCCATTATCCTTTATCCATTTTTTGCAGCAATTCCACTTTTTGTTTAATGGACTTCAAAACATACTTTCGCTTTGTAGATCCTTTACATATTTGTAAATACAGTCAAAAGTCGTTAATTCGGACCTCAAAGCTAAAATCTTTCTGTGCATGCGCCGCGTTGACGCATGCTCATAGGCGTTTTACGCGTGCGCGCAAGACATTTACGACTACGCATATGCGTCTGCGCAAGCGCAGAATACGTTTTCGCGTGCGTGTTTAATGTATAACGGATGGTATAAGCTTAAATTATCTATTTCAGTTAATTTTGATGATTGCGTTGTTCCTTAATCTTAGAATTGGATCCGGCTTATTATTTTTTGCAGACTGTAAGAGAAATTTTATAGAAGTAAACTTGAACTTTCGATTATGTCAAATAGAATTTCCGATGCTGGAGCTCAAAAAGGATCTATAAAACGAAAGTATGATTCGATGTCCATCAAACAAAAAAACGAATTGCTACAAAAAAAGGATAAAGGTATATCCTTTGTTTATCTAACCGTTCCGAAATCTGTTTATTAATTTCACGCTGCTCTGCGCGGGGGCGGGGGGGACGTCGCGGCGCACCATGAACTGGAAGTTGATCTGTCACCACTATCGTTATCTTCAGGGCAGATGTTTTTATTTTATTCGGCTTATAATTCTTTACTAAATGTAGTATTTAATCTCGATGTACTCCGTCTTTGATATGATTTAAATCAACTTCCTCGTCATTATAAATATCGCGAATACAAATCAAATAGTTTTCTGGTTGCAATTTTCTAATTTCGGCTATGCATAAGGTACGCATGCGCACGCTGAAAGAAATGTTTAATAAAGTAAACAAATAAATATTAAGCTTCTTTTTTTTTTGTAAATTTTGATACCCTTTAGATCATAATTGCTCATTATTTTATAAATTACGGTTTCATATTTTTAATTTTATAATTTCTGCATGCCATCTTACCAGATTTAAACTGATGATCTATAATCCGGAAAAATCGACAATCCGGAATTGCCGAAGTCCCGATGAGTCCGGATTAAAGACTTTTGACTGTATATATCAGAAATTCTATTTGACATAATCGAAAGTTCAAGCTTACTTTTATAAAATTGCTCTAACAGTCTGCAAAAAATAATAAGCCGGATCCAATTCGAAGATTAAGGAACAACGCTATCTGCAACATTAACTGAATTAGATAATTTTAGGGCTGATCTTTGAAATATAGTAACTGGTAGTTTGGCGACATTTTGGAGGCGATAAAGGTTTTTACCTAGGACTTTGGTAATAATGTGAGAAGCACTGAGTTCCGATTACGCATTATTTTGTGCGAGGAAAATGAGAGATCATGAGATATGTCATGTGACATTAATGGACGAATTACAGTTGTTTAATCGGAAAAGGGAAGGAGGAATCTGGAAATTTCGTATTTAGCTATATTCTGTGTTGTGTGAAACGTGACATTAATGGACAAATTACAGTTCTTTAATCGGAAAAGGGTGTTAATTTGGAAAAGCTTCATTGTGTGAAATAGTGTTGATTAATTTTCGGATTGAATGGCGCTATGTAAAGTGAATTCTAAATTTTTAATGTGTTTATCTGATAATAATAATAAGTTGAGATTGTGTGAAAGGAAGGATATTACAAGTTTAAATGGCGGTGCAAGAAATATGGTGAAAATGGACATTTTGTGAAAAGGAGTGTAAGGAAGGGTACGTGGTTTGCTGAAAGTATTTTGAGTATAGGTGAAATTTTATTAATTTCTTATTACTTGGTGAATAGACTTCCAGTTGACTACTGGATTTAGGATTTAGAAATTAGCAGTAGTACTGCAGCGACGTAATGAAGATTCTGAAGAAGATTAGGTAAGTTAGTATTTTTTTATTTTTAATCATTTGAGGATATTATTTTTATGCATTGTTCTAAATGTAAGGAGTAAATAAATTAAAATGGTATTATTTGAAAATTGTTATTAGCAATGATTTAGTTTAAAGTAATTAGGATTGTAAACCCAATTTTTATTAATTTAATGTATGTGCTTATTTATATTTTAAGTAGTGTTTTTTAATTTAATTATATTTTAATTTAATGATCGTGATTTTGTGAGTTATATGTTTGTAGTATTTTGGAATAAGTTTGAGTAGTATACGTTGAGTATTTTCATGCATTTTCGTGAAATTTTTCTAATTTATGAGAAAAAAGCAGTGTACATGGATATAGTGAAGAGTGTGTGCAATGCCGATTTTGTGCAATTCTGGGATGTTTTTTTAAGTAAAAATAAGTCAACGTGTACATGGTTTATGTGTATGTGTTATTGTGAAAAACGCGCAGGGAGTTTGCGATTGTGCACTTTTTTCCAATTTTGCAGTGAATGTTTCTCACGATTAAGCAGTTTTGTTAGATAAAATTTCTAGTATAAGTGTAATTTGGCTAGTAGATTGTTGGAAAAAGTGTTCAGTAAATAAAAAGAAAAGAAACATGTCTTTACTTCGTGAAGACAAAATTGCGGCGGGGAAAAAAAAAAGAGGGTTGCTGTAGCAGAGTTGGTCGCCAAATTTTCGCCAAGTTACCATAATCCAAAGATCAACCAATTTTAGCTTAGCTTATATCGTTCGTTATACATTAAACACGCATTCGTAAACATGTTTTGCGCACAGTCATATTCGCAGCCGTAAAGGTCTTGCGCACATGCGTCAACGCGACGCATGCGCAGAAAGTGTGTAGCTTTGAGGTCCGGATTATGGGTGTCCGAATTAACGACTTTTGACTGTATATATAAAACTAAACTCAGTAGTGCAACAGCCCTAGCAGGCCCCGGCCTGCAGTGCCCTGAAATCTGCTTTCTCGACCTTTGGCCCCAAGGTGCATTAGCATATGCCTTGGGCAAGTGGTCGGCTTGTCGCAGGATCCCATATGTTCAGGCCCCAAACGAACTTGGTACTCATCTCATCGACCCATTCAAGGGATCAACCTTGCCCAGCCGAGAGATCACCTCCCCCCCCGGGACCTGTCGTGTAGCTGCACGACATGCTAGCCAGCTTGCCACCGAATGATATGTGTGTGTGTATGGTAAAAAAATATATAAATTGAAATTATAGTTTATCGTTACATTATTGCCACCGGAAGATATATATGTGTGTGTGTGTTAAAAAATATGTAAATTGAAATTATAGTTTATAACTAAACTAGCAATAGCCTCTTAATGCAGAAAAATGGTTTCATGCCTATAGCAATTATTTTTATTTAACTGATTTGCTTATGGAATTTAGATGTAGCATGGGCCCTGAACGATAAAGCAATAATAATGAAGATCTCCAAGAAAACTGAGATATCTATGTTCTTGATGATCCTGGGGATCACTGGAAATGGAAAAACAGACTAAATGGTGATATGAACAGGGTGACAATAGTAATAATGGCAGTGACTTGCAAGCTGTAGCAAATTACACAAACAATACTTTTAGCAGCATTAAATACAATACTTTTAGCAGCATTAAATAATTTGAAACTAATGGAATAACAGTAGACAACTATCAGAATGGGTGAGATTCAATACAAAGAGTAGCAGAAATGATGATACCTTACCAGACAGTGTTATATTACTCTTAATATTGCTACAATATGGTAAATGTATTATTATTATATTATTGCAATACAGACTTCTAAATAAATAATGCTGTGACGGTTACCAGTAATTTATTCATGAATATTTTTCATTTGTTTTATTCTTACTACAACTGTGTCCTTCAAAAATTTAATTATTGCAGCAAACAGTGGGCGATTCTGTACTTTCTCTCAATTTCGCACCTAATCTTCGTCATGATTAAGCACTTTTGTTCCATAAAAGTTCTAGCATAAGCGTAATTCGGCTAACAGATTGCTGGAAAAAAATGCTAAGTTAAAAAAAAAAAAAAAACATGCCTTTACTTCATGAAAACAAAATGGCATCCAAAAAAAAAAAAAAAAAAACTAGCAGGTTGCCGTAGCAGGATTGGTCGCCAAAAAATCGCCAAGTTACCATAATCCGAAGATTAACCGAAATTTTTAAATTCACAAGTTGTGTCATTTCTTTTCAACAAAGAGTATTTAGGTATATGCATAAATCTAGTATTTGTATACTCTACTTTTCCTTATTTTTAAATGTGTCATTTTTATATGTGGCGTATAACGTGCGCCCATAAATTTCAATCTTGTTTTTTCTATTAAAAGTGCACATTATATGCAGGAATATACAGTATATACATACATATCACATTTAAACTTATTTTGGATTGAATAAAATATAAACTCCTTTTTTTTTAGAGGTGGTGATCCAGATTCTTTCCACATTACAAAATACTCTTAAATCATTTTTCAGTTATGGATAAGAAACTTATCCTCCTATTTTAAAAATTACAAAAATACACAGTAATTTAAACTTGATACACCTGTTGAGTTTTTTTTAGCTTTTCTTATAACAGTTCTTTTTGAGAGGGAAAATGTAAGTGAACTCATCTGCAAATCATCATTCAGATCAGCAACAGATATCAGGAGGCCAGGGAACATTTGCCTTGCGTAAATTAATGCTTGTTCTTCTATTACTATGTTTTTCAATCAGAAGCACAATAAACATAAAACCAAAAATACATGGCTTACACGCATGCATTATTTAACAGCCTGTCCAGATATATGCAAGTCTTTTGTATCTAAAATAACACAATTTTTATGCCTTTTAAAGGTATCTTAAATTGTTTTACAGTCACGATTTATTTATTTTTAATTATGGGAGCTTAACAGATTAAAGTGGCCTTGGTTAAAAAAAATTTGGAAATAATTTGCCAACTTACTTTTGTTATTTCAAACCTGTCGCCACACGGACAAGGATAATAATAGGTCCCTGTTTCTTCATCATATTCAAAATCCTCTATTTCTACTTCGTCGTGATACACAGACATTATAATACTATTTATCAAGTCCTTGGTTCAACAATTTTAAGCACGTGTACTTCCACCTTATGCAAACCGTATTCGCAAAACAAACTACAGACCATAGGTTTATAACTGCTGCCATTCCTATTTTAATAAATGTTTTCAATTTTACGCAATATGATAGTAATTTATAATTTCGATTCTAAATGTCTGCACTTAATTATAATTTGTTTAAAAAAGATTTAGAGCCTACTTCCGCAAAGAACCCGTTGGCTACAGAGGATTTTTACTTGTATTCGCAATTTCGAATGTTATATCAACAAGAACATCCATGACTAGAGCTACTAGAGATACTTTATAGTAGCGTACTACTTTTTTCTATTTTTTTCTCCGTACGGACGGACGCGTATTTCCAAATCCTACCCCACTTTTCGAATTTTTGACGTCATGGACAAATCGACTAGTTTCGCCTAGAGCTGCTAGAGATACAGGCTGACTCGTCAGCCATTTTGAATCTAAGCTTTTCGGGTTGCAATTTAGGTGTGGAGCGGCAACTTTGGCTCTTCAGCGCTGTCCGCTAAAATTTAACATTCTAGAGAATCCGAATTTCAGCTTTTTCTGCACTCCTATAAAGATGTGTGGCTTTTTCCCCTTCTTTTGTCTGCAGTTCAGATTCTTTCTCGTATTTTTTTTTTAAATTGCCAAATTTCTCGTATGATTCAAGTTATTTTAAAAGTTTCTAAAACATTTTCACATATCATATTTCAAATTTGTATTTTTAGTTAAAAATGCTTTCTTTTTGAATTCCTTTATTGAATTTTCAATTTTTTCTTTTAAATACACGCATAATGTTATTTATCTCAAAATGTATTTTTTGACAAGAGCTTTCCCTCAACCACATTCTTAATATGGTTGAGGGAAATCCCTCAACCTCCATTAATTTAGGATAAGGTTTAATCTTTAATTTTTGTTTTTATTTTTAATATGTTATTTGAATTTTGCTCACATGGAATCAAACGTCTATTACTGTAGCAAATTTGTTAAAAATGTTATTTTGTGTGTGTTTCCAGAAAAAGCTGCTAAACACTTTATGATTTTAAATACTGATTCAAGATATACACCTTTAAATTATAATGCTTTTAGAATGAAGTGCAGAATGCTATAAAAATTACTTCAATGCTCAGATGACTGTGGGATTCATAGATTTAATAGAGTAAAAAATTCCATTAATTTTTTTTTTCTTCTTTATTTAGCTATAAACAATATTAAAATAATACACACACAAATAAATAAAAATAAAAATAATACCTTTACATACAGAATTTACAGATACTATTTACTTAAAAGTTTATTTGTTGTTGATGGTTACTTTTTATTATACTTGGAAAAATTATACTTACATACATATGCTCTTAATATTACACGTATCTGAATATTTAAATGATAATTCCATAACATAATAAGATTCAATCTATATCACAGCAAAGACAATACTTGAATCACAGTTCTTTTTATTAATTAATTTGCATAAGTAAAAACATAAAAATATTATTTAGCTTCAAATCTATAAAGTAAAGTCCTCTAGTAACAAACCTATGAACAAACACATATAGTGAAAATAAAGATAAATAAATAGAAAATGTTTTCGCTTTTTTGGTCTAATGTAGTGCAATTCAGTCTATTATATTCAAATTTTATTAAAACATACTGCAGTAATTGAATTTTTTTCCATTATTACATCAAACAGCTTTATATAGAATGATATTATATTAGTTTACTTTTAAAACTAATATAATATAATGAATTCTCATTTATATGCGGAGATGTTTGAATAAATGCTAAAAACCATCTGAATAAATTTTAGCCAACACTATTCAGATAGCAATTCTTGTTTTCAAGGTATATCATTTTTCTTTAGTTCTTTTTCCATTAAAGGAGCTAACCTAAAGACCACAAAGGTTCGATAATATTCAGGTCTGGTGACTGTGGTGGCCAGGGGAGATGGGACAAAAACTCATCCTCGTGCTCAGAAAACCAGTCCTGGACAATGTGAGCTGTGTGAACAGGGGCTTTGTCGTCTTGGAAGACACCATCACCATCGGGGAACAAAGTTTGTACCATGGGATGAACTTGATCGGCCAAAATATTCACATAAGTCTTGGCAGTCATGTGCCCTGACACAGTTCATTTGGGGCTAGCAGAGAACCACGATATGGCTGCCCAAACCAGAACAGAACCCCCGCCATGTTTCACTCTTGGCAACAAACAGTCTGTATTATAGGCTTGAGATGGCATTCTCCAGGCATAAACTCGGCTAGAAGTGGGAAACAATGTGAAAGAAGACTCGTCAGACCATATTACTCGTTTCCACTGCTCTATAGTCCAGGCTTTATGACTTAAACACCACCTTTTCCTGTTACGGGCATTAGTGTCACTGATGAGTGGCTTCTCAATTGCAGCACGGCCAGCAATTCCCTGTTTATGAAGCTCCCTTCTAATTGTTTTGGTACTCACAGGGTTCGGTAACACAACATTCATTTCAGCAGTAACTTTTGCAGCTGTGGTCTTCTTATTTTTCGTCACAATTGCCCTTAATGATCGTCTGTCACGATCACTCAGGCTACCCTTTATAGTAGCTTTAGTTTCGCCTGGATGGTATTTCTTGAGCATGCGCTTAAGGGCGAGAAGTAACATAAACAGAACTTTGGCTTCAACTTCTAAACAATATTAAGTATATTGTCTTAAAGTGCATTCGTTTATGTAATTGCATAATTTTACTGTTTCTGTAATAAGAAAACTTCATTCAGATAAAATTTATTTTAATATTATTATTATCTGGTTATAGGATTATACGAAATGCTGAATACTCTAGGTACTATCGTAATCTTCGCATAACCTTTCACATTGGATTTTGCCTTATCATTTTAAAATATATTGTATTATAAAGATTAAATCAAAGCAAATTACTTTGTTAGAGATGTGAATGTTCTAACTGAATTTTCTTTTTATCACTTATTATTTATTTCCTCTTTGAAAACACATTCATATTTGACAAATAATTATCTCCGCTGAAAATTTTTTGATTGTTTAAAAACTATATTTGTCAATAATGTAATAAAAACTCACTAATCTAGTGCTTCATAGATCAATATGACAACGAATTCAAAATGTTTTAAAAAACAGTTCTTTAATCTTTAGTTTTGTAGTAGATGCAACTAATGTCACAGAGAAAAAATATTTCAATAAAAAAGTTCTCCATGTTAATTCAATAGCAAAATTATTTCTATTTCAGTGAGAAATCCACTTTCAATGCTTATATAACAGAAAAATGTAACATAAGCATTTTAGAAGTTTTAAATATAAGCTAAAGGTTTGCTGTACAATTTTATGTAAGAAACGTAATAATTTACTTTCATTCCTTTTAAATCGGCATATATTCGTTTCCAATAAATCAACTAAAATTTTTGGCAAGTTAGAGACTTAACTTGAACACACAGTATTCTGTCACTTAAAATATCAATTAATTGTGCTTTTTCATTTAGAGATACATTGGAATTGAAAATACCAAAGGCAAAATGGGTCACAGATCCAACCTAATTCCTTATTTGGAAATTTTTCAAAAAATTTTCAGTCAGTTTTATCATATGTTGTTTTAAACAAGAAATCTGTATTATTTTCTGTAGTAAATTCTGAAAAACATGTTTCTGTTGTTTTTGTTCAATTCTCCTTGCCAAAGTATTAGCTTAGTTTTAAAAGCTTCAATATTTCTCCAATTGTATGAGGTTTTAAATTTTTTGCAATTAAATATGAAACTTTTAAGGATGCCTGTAAATCCTTCTCAGGAACTGTTGTATATTTTTTCAAAAATACATTTTAATTTTTCATGCTCTCAGCTCATTCCTTAAAAAAATTCTTCAGATTTATTTACTTAATCTTTATGTTTAGTTTCTGAGGTACTTTTCAGTTTCACTGGCGCAAATCTCGCCAAGCAGACTTTGTTGACGACAACATACAATATACACATAAAAAATGTTAACAAACTTAGTTTTCTAAGAATTTTTTATTTTGAAGGCACAAACATTTTAATATCTTTTAAAATTTTGTAAAAAGCCAATAAATAAAGATAATAAATTTGTAAAAAGACATTAAGAATTTACTATGTTTTCATGGTTCAACATCCTGATTTGCCGGTTCGTATCACGTAACACCACGTGATCTCATCTCACGTAAACTACGCTACAAAAATCTAATTCTCTCAGTAATTATCTACATTAATTTCAAGTTAAATCTTAATTTGGAATACAAGTTTAAATGCAAGAATTATTTCAATTCGTACAAATAGCTTACTCAGAAATTATGTAAAACCGCAGTGCTTTACTTCGCTACTGCATTCTCATTAGAATTGATGAATTTAACCC